CTACTCTCTCTCTCTCTCTCTCTCTCTCTCTCTCTCTCTCTCCCAAATGTTTATAGCTTAGGTGTATGACAATAAATGTGACGCAACTGTATGATGCAAAAACGCCATCATCTGATGCGTAAGTGATATTAGCAGCTACTTGGAGTCATCATCTAAATTTACATGCATAAAAGTCAACAGTCGATCTTTCCACCACATGCTACCAATCCAAGGCTTGACTACACAAACTTCATCTTGCAGTCAAAACCCGTTCTACAATTCCATGGAAGCTGTAGATGGCGTCCGTAGTGCTCGTTGTCGCAGGAGAAGTGCTGCCACAATTGACCTTGACTGATATGATTTCCTTGACCATTCTCCTCACAGACGAACCTTCATGGAAGCTCACTGCAACCCAGTGAAGACGGCGCATGTCGCCTGTGTCACGGCGGGAAGAGTCCACTCAACACATCTTCTCTAAAGCATACGCACGCATACACACACACACACACTCTCTCTCTCTCTCTCACTCTTCAGTATATGTTGGATGACATACGATGGAATCACGTCCAAGAAGCTTCTTCAGCTCGCCTATTCTCGTGTTGCAGGAACCAAGAGTGGCAGCATGGCCGGAGGCGGAGCCGGTGGGCGTACCCTGGAACAAACCTCGACGTGGGCGGTCGCCACCGTCTGCTTCGCCCTCGTTATCATCTCCGTTGCCATCGAGCATGGCATCCACCTTATAACCAAGGTAAGTTAACTACCAGTTTCACCTTGCAACAGTGCTTGTCTCTATTGCCAGTTATCACAGCATGCAACTGCTTGAGTTGCCGATGCTCTCCTCCTAACCTATCTGCAGTCATGGAGAAGAAGAAAGAAACCTTCGTATGTGGTCATCATGCCACAATTGCTTTCCCAATGGAATACCACTGCAGAGGACATCGAACTTACATGAATTTTCACACCGTTTGCAGTGGTTGGAGAAGCATCATAAACGGGCACTCCAGGAAGCCTTGGAGAAGATCAAATCTGGTAAGCTGCGGTGCTCAACTCGCTCCTCGATGTTATCTTCTGACAACTTCTGCACCAACCTAGAAACCGTGTTGTCTGCTTGACGCAGAACTGATGCTGCTGGGCTTCGTATCCTTGCTCCTGACAGTGGGGCAGAGCGCCATCTCTGAGATCTGCGTGCCGACAAGTGTTGGTGATTCATGGCATCCTTGCAAGATGGAAGTGCATGACGACAGTTCCACGGATCACTCACGGCACTTGAGCGGTCGAAGCGGGCCTGACAAGTGTTCTAAGAGGGCAAGCATTCTATGGATACATGATTTAAACTTCAAGCTCGGTATATCCTAGTGTAATCTAACTCAACGAAGCTGGTTGGCATGCAAACTCACAGAACAAGATTTCCTTCATCTCTGCTGACGGACTCCATCAACTCCACATATTCATCTTCGTTTTGGCCATCTCTCATATTATCTACTGCATCTCCACCATGGCTCTGGGTAGATTAAAGGTACGGCAAACACATTAATCCATCACAGGCACTGATCTTTTGATGAAAACCTATGAGATTTACATACCTTTGAGACATTGGTGACAGATGAAACATTGGAAATCATGGGAACTGGAGACGAAGACTGCAGAGTACCAGTTTTCACATGGTAAGTCAACAAATAAAATCGTCATATACTCACAAAATGCAATTTACACTAATTCTGAATTGTGGGAATGGATTGGTAGATCCTGACAGGTTTCGGTTTGCTAGAGAAACATCCTTCGGACGTCGTCATCTGAGCTTCTGGAGCAAATCCCCTGCTTTAATCTGGATTGTAAGGACTATTTCTTGACTCTAATGGAAGTTCTAATTATGCAGTAGCATATCGACATAATTCGCCACTCTCAAGTGGCAACAGCAATTTATTGAGCTATAAATTTCTTCTGTTAGGCGTGCTTCTTTAGACAATTCGTGATATCACTTCCAAAGGTTGACTATCTGACACTGCGCAATGGATTCATCATTGTAAGTAAATTAAGAGAAAAAAACTAGTTTTTATATTGAAAAAGGCATTTGAAATTCCTCAATGAAATGCTAAAAATTTCAGGCACATTTGGCTCCTCAAAGCTCATCCAAGTTTGACTTCAGAAAGTATATAAAGAGATCTCTGGATGAAGATTTCAAAGTTGTGGTTGGGATCAGGTATGCTACTACCCAGTGATCAAATCATAGGGATGAACTACTTAATCTGAGAGATCATAGTGTTTGTATTCAAGAGAGATTTCTACATCTGTAGCTATTAATTCTTCAGATTCATCAGATTGTTCCACAGTAACTATTTCCTAATTTAATAAGCCAATATGCAGCTTATAATTATTTACTTTGTACTCTGCAAATTAGTAGTCCATGTGGCTGGCAATCTATCTTCCAAACACAATGAACGAGTATGATTTTTGTTTGAATGTTTGCAGCCCAGCTCTATGGTTCTTTGCAGTCATCTTCTTGCTGTTCAACACTCATGGTATGTATCATGCAATTTTTCCTCCTCGAGTAGACTTTGTTATATCTCTGATAACTCTCAATTAATCCTATTTCGCAGGTTGGCATTCTTTCCTATGGCTTCCATTTGTTCCCTTAATCGTAAGTTCATTAACCTTTGCACTCCATTGATATCAAGCGTCCTCTGTTTTCTGGAGGAACCAGTGCTTGCGGCAAAATTTTTAGTTCTAATTTGATGTGAAGCATTTCATATCAAAATCACGGAGATATAGTCGCGTTTCGATCCATCAAAACCGGTTGATCATAAGTCATTTATCTACTTAGAAGATCAATCAACCCAGTGATTGGTTTCCTTGATGACTTCACTGCACTAGTTATCTGGTTCTACGATTCTGAGTGGAATGTACTCTACAGATTATTCTGCTGGTGGGGACGAAGCTTCAGGTGATAATAATAAGGATGGCCCAGCGGATCATGGAGCGTGGGGATGTCATCAAAGGTGTCCCTGTCGTCCACCCCACTGACGACTTGTTCTGGTTCCGACGCCCTCGATTAATGCTCTACCTTATCCACTTTGTTCTCTTTCAGGTTCCTCCCATACTTAAACCTGCATTTGCTACATATCCCATGTATATCTGTGAAGATCAAATCTGATTGAATATTTGTTGTTGATGCAGAATGCTTTCCAACTTGCCTTCTTAGCCTGGAGTTGGGTATGGCTCTGAACACTGATTTCTTGTGCCTGCAATGGATGAACAGCATCTGTCACAAGAAGTGGCAGTAAATGCTTAGTTATGGAGTTTCTAATATGTGTTGCTCCTGCCTTTTCACAGTATGAATTTGGATTTCCTTCGTGCTTTCACAAGCGTGTGGAAGACATCATCGTTAGGCTTTCTATGGGGTTAGCTGCCTCCTCTCCCTGCTAAAGCCATGATTACTAAACCTTTTTCTTCTACGTTCTAATCCTCATCATGTTTGCCAGTTTGCTCATACAGGTTCTTTGCAGCTACGTCACACTCCCTCTCTACGCACTGGTAACACAGGTATGTCTGCAGAAACTCGATGAAAATTAAGAACATGAAAGAAACTGCAGTACAGTCAACTGATGTGAAGGATCACAAACAGATGGGTTCCAACATGAAGCCCACCATCTTCAACGAGAGAGTAGCAACAGCACTGAGAAAATGGCATCAAACAGCCAGAAAAAACTTGAGAGAGAACAGGAAGTCCGGAAGCGTCACACCGCTGTCCACAAGCAGGTCTACGACCCCAAAGAACAGCTTTGCACAAGTTTACAGGTTGCAGCATCTTCCCAGTGACTTGGAGAGCCAGCCAGATTCTTCGAGGAACTACAACTTCGACAGGGATCATCTTGAGATCGAAGAGTCCGTTTCGTCCACAAGTAGGCCTACCAGTGCCGCAAGCCGTTCGTCGCCGGCGTACCTGCTGCGGAACCTTCCAAGTGATCTAAGCACTCAACAAGAGTCTCCAAATCGCTCTAACCTTTGGAAAGGCCGGTATGATATGGAAGGACCGTCGTTGCCATCTGAGAGAACGGTAGATATCGAGCTACAGAGAGCAGCTCTGGAAGGAGGTGAAACACAAAGTAAGAGTTATTCACCGCAGTCGCCTGCTTTATAAGAAGAGAGTGATGGAAGGGAAGAAGAGAGGAAGAGCGATGATGGAAGCTTGTGATACCGATAAAATGTAATCTTTGATGATAAGTTTTCATACAATTACGAAGATTTTTATACATCACTTAATCTACATTTTATGCATTTTTTAAATATATATATATATATATATGTATATATGTACATATATACACACACATATATATATATATATATATATATATATATATATATATGTATACATACATGCATACATACATACATATACATATACATATATGCATATATATATTGGGAACTCATAAAAAAAGATTAATATTTACAACCTCTATTTAAAAAAATACTATTTATAATCTTTTTTATATTTATAATTTTTAATATTTTTAAACTATCTTTTTGTTGATGAACATAAATATCCTCTTCTTTTTCCTCTTCCTCCTCATCGTCTTCTTCTCCTTCCTCTACCACTTCTTTCTCTTATTCCTCCTCTTCTTCTTCTTTTTCTTTGGAGGATGAGATCAAAGGAGTTGAGAGCAAAGTTGTGGATATCGAGGAATAAAATATTGTGGGGAAAGATAAAAAATGAAAAGGATAAAATCGATAATATGATATAAATAAAAAATATTTTATTATATTTAAAAATGTATTATCAATAGTAAGGAGATGGTCAAAAGTAAAGAGGGAAATGTGAATAGTAAGTTTATTTTAAAATATTTAATATTTTCAAACTATCCCTTTGTAAATATACATAAATACCTTTTTTTTATTCTCTTCTCATTCTTACTCGTCGTTTTCCTCTCTTTTTCTTATTCCTCCTCTTTTTTATCTTTTCTCCTCGTCCTTTTTTTATTCTTCTCTGTCTTTTTCTTTTTCTTCTTATTTCTTTTTATCTTTCTCATCAAAGAACTATGTCAAAAAGGCGATGAACAATGTTGAACAATATCAAGCTACGTTAATACCAAACAATGTTAGTGGCAATGACCAACATCGATGACGATAATGAAATTTGACAACAACAACAACTAATAAGGGGTTGTGTGGAAAAAAAAAGAAGAAGAGTAAAACTGATAATATTGGATTTGTAAATAGTAAAAAAATAATAATATTTTTTTAAAAAAATATCAATAATAAAAAAGGATTATAAATAATAAACTTCTTAAAAAATAATAAAACATAAAATATATTATTTATAGCCTCTCAATTACCAATCAGACCTTTATTCTACCATCTCTTATTTCATTTGTCGAAACTCTAACTACTCTGTCGCTCCCCATTACTTAGTAATTTTGATTTGAAATAAATTTAATATTTCTTTAGGAAAAAAAGTATGGAAGTCAATATGAATTATATCTTATTAAAGACCAAATAACTTAACCTCATTTGGCCGACAAATAAAAATTTCAAAATATCAAGAAAGTGCCAATCTACTGAATGAAAAATATAATTTTCAGTCTTAAAAATGAATATATATATATATATATATATTATTTACCTCAATAATTCTGCTTCCTGCGATCTGAAAACTTCATCATATCATGTCCTAAAAAGAAAAGAAATTGGCTATATTATTATCACTATTATGAAGTTTTCACAGAGCGACAAAAGAATCCTATTTCCAGGGATGACAGTGCTGTGGCAACCACTTGCTTCACTTCTTCTCGTGTCCCAAACATCAAATGGTTGCCGACATCATGATCGAGTGATCAGCTCCGTAGTGTCTCCTTCACCTTAAACTGACCTGAGGGACGACAGCTTGGAGTCGGCAGTCGTATACTTCATCCTTAGGACACCACAATGAAGAGCCTTCATTGTCAGCTGCCTACTTCGAGCACAACATTTAGAGCTAACATAACTCCTCCTGTATGATTGATTAGTACATTCGAAGGCACGCATTTGCACCATTTAGGGTTTCAAGTGGTTTTGAGAGCTTCACAACCTTTCCTGCTCACGGTGGTTAATTCATGCGTGTGGTGTTATCAGTCAAATAATTCATCACTTATTCCAATTAATTGGTTGCCGTCATATCGGATGACAACCAGCAATCGCGTCCGGTCCATTCAATCGCCACCGTCCTAAGCTGGCCACAGTTGGGATCTTAGGAGGATCTCGCTAATGACAGTCAGCATGCATTGAAAGGTCCTTAATGTGCAGGTCCATGAAGCAAGATGAACATAACTTCTGCACAGCAACTCAATGTATTGCTTCCTCACACATCCTGTTTCAGAACACCTGGAATACCCTAAGATTCATGATCCGGGCATGTTGAAGACTGATAGGTTGAAAGCTGTAGTTTGACCTTTTCTTATGTTGGGCGTCACAGATTATCACAATCTATGTTGAAGTCCTCAGCCTTCTATTCTTTAGAGGTCATTCAAGATATAAATGCTTTTACACTGAAAACTGCTTCTTCATATTGCATGGTGCTTCTTTTTAGTTTCCAGTCTGATATCTGTAGTAAACGTATGGTTTCTTTGCACACATATCCTGAAATATTTGGAACGCATTGTTTGTTGTTCTTTCAAGCAATCTTGTTCACTTGTAATGTAATCAAATCCTGTTGTCAATAATTTAATCCTTTTCATGCTCCTAGAAATATATCTCAAGCTAAAAGATCACTTGCACCATACCAATTCAACAATTAGTCTTCCTATGACCCTCTTACTTGGAGTAAACCTTAGTTCCTCCTTTTTGTCACTACTAATTTGCCATGTTCTTTTTCCTGTCTAATCTTTTCTTTTCTTTTCATCTACAATCATCTTGGGATGCAGTTTTAGAATTTGATTCTTGTATTTTCATATAGAGGAATGGTTAAAGAGTTGTAGTGAGTGCAGAGGGATTTAATTACGACTATAAGCTGCAATCAATATGTGCTGGCTTAATATGAAGAGCATACATCACGCTCTACAATTAAGTCTGATCGAATCACATAACAAACAATCAAGCATTCATCTGGCTGGCATTGCTGGAGCCAAGAAAAGACTGTTCTTCCCCAGAAGTTAAGTATCTGCACTGATAGTACCAACAATAATAAGCTTAGAACCGACTTTGTCTGAGATGTGCATGACAATCAACAGTTTGATCTGATAAGGCATTGCCTTTCAGCTCTCTGTCTCGTGTAGAATGAATGGCATGGATTTGACTCCTCATTAAATCTCTATAAAGCCGAAACCTACAAAACTCCTCAAGCAAACAAATCACTCAATCTCTCCTCCCAAAGTCTCTTTTGCATGACACCATGAAGCCGCAGACCTTCACTTTGCCACCCATGCTCCTCCTGATACTGCTTATTATGGGCCACTTTTCTAGCTTAAGCTCTGGAATTAGGGTCATGAGGAAGGAGGTCGAGACCAGTAGGGAAGGTGAGCTTTCTTCCCAGTCCAGTGCATATTTCACCAAGATATCTCCTTCGCAGGCTATCTATGAAGACGATGAAGCAAGCTCTATCTATGGAGTGTCTGACAGAGGGGTGCCTCAAGGTCCAAATCCACTTCACAACTGATAGAGGTTGCATGCACTTTGAAGACCTGCAAGAGTTTGGATGATACACGCAGTTGTACTCGATGCCCTCTCCCTCTCCTCTTCTTTCCCTTTTGTCATAGAATAAAACCCTAGAAAGGTCTCATAGACTCCATCCATGGGGTCATATATTATATCCTTGAATGTATCCTTGAGAGGTCTATAAATTAGTGTAAGCTCTTGTGATAAGAAAAAGTCATGTTGTGATAATTGAGGACTTCCAAATGACTTGGCTTGTTAAACCAATGTGGGAATTATTTTGGATCATTTTACCAAGTCAACATGAGTGAATTAACAATTTCAAATTTTAAATTATTATATCTCTGTCTCAATTTTAAAGATTTTGAACAAATTAATGGCACTGTATTTTAAATTTTAATTAATTAATTTGTTTTTCAAATACATTTCAAAATTATCTAAAGCGTGTTTCATTAGAGTGAATTTTACTTCTTGTAAAATTGAGAGACAAATGCATGTCACAAGAAAACAGTGACTTATTTACCAAAATCATTTAAAAGAAAGTTTTGGTCCCTTCAAAAATTATTTAAGATTTTAGAAACTTTTCAAGAATATTTTATTGGCAAAAATATATATAGATATTATAAATGAAAGCATTAGCTTATTCAAATATAATCATTTTTCTTCATTACCCGTCTTTTCCTTCGTCAGTCTGAGTCATCAAGCTCGTGTCTATTATCCCATCCCACGTGTGAAAGCCACATGGCAATCTCACAACTACCCACGCGCTCACCTGTCTTATGAGTGGAAGGTATCGTTGTGCCCGCATGTAAAACGTCGCTGCGTCCAATTACAAGGCGGGTGTTCGACGGGCACTTACCGAATGGGTAAGAAATATTTCTCGATAAACTACTTGCGCCGACCATGAATGCGGGTGAGAAATCTTTGAACACTCCCGAATTGGGTCCCGAAACAGTATCCGAATGGATGACATGGCGTCCCGGACGTGAGACCGCCGCACACTTCTCGCCCTCCACGATTAGGCAACTGGAATTCGTATCCCAAGTCGTTATCAAACTCGACTGTGAAGCAAATCCCGCTTTCGAAAGCACTTTCCCTTCCTCGTCTGGTTTTTTACTCCATTCGCTTCCGCTTCTTCCATTATCTAGGGTTTCGATTCATTTGTCTATTCCCCTCACGGCTCTTTGATCGATCAGTCATCCTCGATTCCACCGCTCTCTAGGGTTCATTTGACGAGGAATCATCCCCCCCCCCCCCCTGCTTCAATTTGGATTACCTGTTTTGGTTCTTCGATTTCGACATGGGAGATTGGCAGGATCTCTGCCAAGCCGTGTTTATCGGTCTCATCTTCTCTTTTCTCATCGCGAAGCTCATCTCCGTCGTCATCTCCTTCAAGGAGGACAACCTCCGTGTTGTTCGCGAGCATGACCTGACCGCCGAAGCCCCATTGGTCGAGCGCTCGTCGCTAGATGTCGGGAAGAAGGCGGATGAAGGCGTGGGGGGATCGGAGAAGGAAGAAGAGGGCCTTTTGGAGGATGATAGTGACTGGGAGGGGATCGAGAGCACGGAGTTGGACGAAGCCTTCACTGCGGCTACGGCTTTTGTTGCGGCTACAGCTGCCGACAAGAATTCAACAAAGGTTTCGAGTGATGTGCAGTTGCAGTTGTATGGGCTCTACAAGATTGCGACCGAGGGGCCGTGTACCATTCCTCAGCCATCTGCGCTTAAGATGACTGCTCGAGCCAAGTGGTATGTCTTGATCTCTTTGGGATTGGCTGTATGCTTCAGCAAATTGTCACTTGCATTATCCATGCGAACTTGGTCTTGCCTCTGTCAATACTATATGCAAGTAGTTAACTAGTATAATATACTTCATGCGCATGATCTTGGTTTCTTGTATTGTTAGGTGAAGCAAGAGATAGCAATAATATGTCAAAATTTCTTTACAATATATCTTGAGTTTTATTTGACCTCAAGTTTTGTTTTTACCTTGAACATGATTACGTTCAATTTTCATGGTTTGCAACATTGTCTTGCCCTCTCTTCTCCTTTTTTTCATTGATACGTGGTAAAGAATAAGCAGCTTGTCACTTCATCTTGCATATCATGGAGGATTCATGTTCCATCGCAATCTCTTGTTCCCAAACAATGGATTTAACTTGATTGCATTCCTTACGAACTTATAATTTTTGTGTGGTATGAGTCTGGACGGTTCCTGATTTCTTTGTGGTGCAAGCTGCAGAATAATTCACATTCAACTTTGTAGATGTCTCTTACCTTCATTATCAACCACTGCTTAACTGCATGGGACTTGCAAATATGTCTATAACAACTATACTTTGTTGTTTAAAGATTTTAGACAATTAGTCACTTGTAGTCTCTTTTGGCACTTAATTGATTGTTGTTTAAAGATTTTAGGCAACTAGTCACTTGTAGTCTCTTTTGGCATTTAATTAATATAAAACATCAATTTGGTGATTTTATGTAAGGAATGCATGGCAGAAGTTGGGTTCTATGCCTCAAGAAGAAGCTATGCAGAAGTACCTCATGATTGTGAGTGAGCTTTATCCTTCTTGGGCAAGTGGTTCTTCTAAGGTGAGTTCTTCCCAGATCTCAATTCTTCTTTCTATTGTTGAAGAAGTTACATCGTCCTATGTTGGTATCTTTTTTCTTCTAATGAATTTGACAAGCTTACAGAAAATGAATGATGAAGATACTCTGCCATCTAGTTCAGCTGCAAAGGGACCAATGGGGCCAGTTTTTAGCACCTTCGTTCATGAGGAGGAGTCTGATACTGATATGTAAGGTCCTCACCAGCAGAGGTTTTTGTCTATTTTTGATTGATTATGTGACAATAATGGAGGCTTTTTTTTCTGCTTTTTATGTTCATTGGTGCTTTCTTCAGGTTATAATTCAATCTTCTTGTTGCTTATGTAAAACATATATGTAGATATTTCATTTCATGCAAGTTCTCGTGGATGATACTGCACTGCCATTGCCTTGATTTTTGACCTTTCGAACTACTTCAGTCTCATGCATAGAGATATGAAATAGTCAACTTCTTGTTCATTGCAGCCATAGTATGAATAGGAAAATAAAAGTTCAGGCCTTTGTTACAAATTTTAGAAATGAAAGTGTGTCCAACGAATAGAATCTAGTTGTTATAGCATCCCCATAAACATTGGCATCTATTAATTCAGGAATTGACTGAATTTATGAGTTATGAATTTGTTGGTTCTTTCATTATTTCATGTATGTGCTTGATTCACTAATCCATATGCACAATCACATTTTCACGACACTTTTGTATAGGCAGGTTGTCACATGTAGGCTTACGAAGTAGCACACTTCGACATATGACTTTACATAATAAGAACAGACCAGTTATCTTTTCCATATTATATAAAATTTGATATTCATGCTTGGTTTTATTTTTTACTACTGACATGTGTCATGATCATGCTGACAATTTCAAAAGAGCAGCAAGTTCTTGTCATGTAATGGATAGATACATGTTCCTTTAAGCTTCTTTAGATATCATGTCAGTAATCCTTATTTCACTTAATGAAGTAAGATTGACAGCTTCCCTGTTTTTTGGCCCCCGCCCCCACTCACTCCAATCCCCATACACCACAAGCAACAACAGGTCATGTTTGTAATGATATCACACAAGCAGTGAGCTGAAAAAATTCTCTACATTATTTTACATTAGTACGATTGTAGTATTGTATGCTGAGCATAGGTTGTTAGCACAGCAGATGCTGCTCGCCATGTTGTGATTGTGTTGGACTTTTGCCTGTAGGCATGGTAATGCAGGCAGTGATTTTCCTTGGTTTGGCATTCCACTGTATGTGCTACATGAAAATCCTTGTGTTGCTCTGCTGGATCAGTGAGACATTTTTATCATAGCTTAGTGTACTCTTTTGGCAAGTATTTGCTAACTGTGTTTTGAATTATATATTCCAATATCTAATTTTCTTATGTTTTTTGTCATCAGAAAGTTGGAGCCAGTACATGACTTTGCCAGGGAAGGAGATGCTGATGGGTTATTGGCACTTATTGCTAATGGTGCTTCTGTGAATTCTAAAGGTGTGTTTACTGTTTAGTATGGATCTCTTGTGGCTGAAAAGCTCTTGTATGGTTTTTCTTAATTTAATTAATTCATTTGTTTTGCTTCAGACTGTTATGACAGCAGATAGAACTAGAAATTAAGATTTAATTTTCCAGTTGATTCCTCAGCAAATTTTTTTAAATTCTTTTTGAACTGATCTTTTATTACTTTGGTGCCACCGTTATGAAATTTTTTCAATGATTTTTCCTTTTAGAGATTGTGTTTTTTGGTTGATGTATATGAATGTATATAATTTGTGAACTCTTATTGCCTAATGCACAACCTTTTTCTTTTCACTATTCCTTTCTTAGGTTCCACCTTGATTTGTCTATGATAAGTTATCCTGTCTTTTTTTTTTCCGTTGGCTTCTACGTTTCATTTGGAATTTGCAATTCTATTTAGGTATTTTGATGTTGTAGGTGGATAACGAGTTCTAATGCAAACACTGACATGCATCTCAGTGATAATCTTATCATTTATATTCTTGTGGTGATTCGATACTTGTGATCCCAAATATCTATCAAGGAATTCAATGCCTGAGACAACCAAATGAGAACCGTCGAAGCTTGACTTACCCATTTTTGTGTCATTGTGAGGTTGTAGTTTCAAGTTCAGTCATTTGGATATTTCCTGTCAGAATTCAAACTTTATCTTATTATGCCTTTTTCACTTTAGTTTTGATAAACCTCAGCAAACTTTTGTCCACCTTGGTTTACCTTGTGATGGATCCCAGTTATGTTGGAGCCTATACTGGTCCCTTCAGACTGTTTATTTGAATATACTCTATGGTCTACATGTGTCTGTCTCTAGCATCCTCTTTCAACTAAAGAGACATGAAATCATGAGTAAAGAGATGATACCATGATATCATGGTCTCATCTTAGTCCAGCTGTTCGTAAGTCGTAACTAAACAAGCTTTTCCTTGATAATGATATGATGAGGCACCTAACCTCAATATGTTATTGATGCTCAACCATAGATGATCCCTTATAGTAACTTTGATCTTTTTTATTTTTTTATTTTTACCTTCAATAAAAGCAATTGCTTATCTAACATATAGGATCAGGTTTTGCATGCGAAAATTCATCTCTGAAGGGTTCATGAGAATGGTTTAACAACTAACAGCTCAAACACTTGATGATACCATGCGAAGTAGTATCGGGCGAGAATTGGATGAATATCCATTCATTTCTCCAACATATTAACACCTGTAATCTGTGCAAACGATTTTTCTCATTGTCTGTGGTTGGATATCTTGTTGTTACAAGACATAATTTTGCACTCTTTTTATCTTTATGGCATTATAACCTCCAAAGTTCCACATGCTTCTTTGTTTTATGGGAATAATTAGTAGTTCATCTCCTATGTTTGGATTCATAGATACAATAACTATGATTTTAGATGAGTTGGTGTTCCTCAAATATTTTTTATGTGGTTATCCATTCCCCTGCCTGTACATTCCTCCAGGTGGTATATCTGGAACTTTTTGCTCCACCAAAAAAGAATTGCTAAAATCAGATGATTTGTGGCTTTGTTGGCTCATGTTGCTGGCTCTGTGCATGGCTCTATGCATCTGATTTAACAATTAGATCAAAGTAGGCAAACTTAATGACAATTATAGGAACATTCAATTTAGAAATCTTTTAATGGAACGTTCTGATTATTGTTACTACTATTAACAGAATAGACAATTATAAGAGTTTGGGTACAAATAAGACCAATATTTGCAGTCAAATCTACTACTACAACAACAACAAACCATGATGTTCCAACTATTTGTGGTCAGCCACGTGAATCTTTTTCTGCCATTGAGCTTGGTAGAAGGCAATGTCTCTAGTTAATCAAGCTTAAACCCGAAAGGGTATATATAAAAATAGTGTATGTACCATCATTTCCTGCTAAGTGTCCAATTAATACATTAGTTTTATGTGTAAATACAAGGCTTAAGGTAACTATTCTCCCAGTAAATTCACCATTTTATTCTAGTTGAGAATTGAGAGTAACATTGTAAATCTTTTTATATTTTGGTTGGACTAATATTGGATTGTTATTCACAGAAAATGACATACTGTAGAATTTTCTTTCATTTATTTGTTTAATCAATATCACTTCCTAAGATAGTTTGACATTATAGTAAATCTGCATTGTCTTATAAAATGTTATAGCTAAAGGAATTCTGAGTATTTATTTATAATTTTTCCTGTTTCTTATAATATCTTAATCTGTTTTAGGTTTTCACATGCTCTAGTCTGTGCTTGTTGCAGATAGTGAAGGGAGGACTCCATTACATTGGGCTGTAGATCGTGGACATCTTGGTGTTGTGGAAATACTTCTTAACAAGAATGCAGATGTGAATGCCCAGGTCTATACCCAACCCTTTGTTTTAGAAGTTGAAAATTGTACAAGCTCATCTTTTATCTGACTTAGCCATGTCACAGATCACAGATGCAGTAGTATTGCACATGGTCCATTGTGTCATTCTGTGGATCATTCAATGCTCTATGTTATGCACTGATTGCGCATATGTGCTGGCACTTGGCACCTACTATTTGTGTCATTCTGTGGATCATTCAATGCTCTATGTTATGCACTGATTGTGCATTTGTGCTGGCACTTGGCACCTACTATTTGGGAAATGAAAATCCTTGCATATGGATTTCACATTTGCTTTGCACCTTGAGATCATGTTGATTCTTATGAACTCACACATTGTTACAACTTACAAGTCGACACATATTATTTTGCTTTAAAGTATAGTGTATTCTATGATAAAATTTGAGGCAATTAGTTAAAATTAGCTGCAATTATGTTTAAAGGCAATCATACCAATTTAAAAAAAATTGCTTTAAATTTTGTTGTATCATGTGATTTTATCATTATCAATATTTGCTTCAGAAAGATGAGCATTAGTTTATTTGTGAGAGTGGAAATACTTGTACTTAAAATGGTAACTGTGTAACCCATAAATTCATTCATAGAGCTGGGACAAGTGTGGATTTTGAGAAGGTGAAATAGGAAATAGCACAGGCCCTGAAAGTATATATGTTGAGGTTTGGATTGGTTCAAGAGATTTAAAGGTCATTTGGTCATCTAGTGTATATTACAAACTTTTGAAAAATTGAAAAATTCTTGATGAGTAGAGAAGAAGCTTTTAAGCATTGATATATAAGAATAAAGTAGATATCTAGTGTTGTTTGAACTTTGGAGAACTTGAGCTAATGAATCACACTATAAAACAAAGATTGATGCAAGTGTTGTTTAAAAAAGAAAAGTCTTTCAAGAAATTAATTTATTAACTTCACATGGTTTTTATTGACCTAGAACAAGTTTATGGTAGGGTCTCTAACCAATTATTATGATGAATTTTAGATATAAAGAAGATATATGGTAGTTAAATTGATCCAACTAATACTAAATTTGATAACAGATATATATGATAGAGTTGTCATTAGCTTTTTTATAGGTTGAGTTACTACCAAGTCTCTTAAATCTTTGTATGTATATCAAGGATCTACTTTGTGTCTTTATCCTTTTTTTATTTTGGTTATGAATGAACCCTCAAGATAAACTTCCACATTATTTTCTTAAGGATAGTTTAGTTGGAATTAAGTCTCTCTTACTGCTTGAGGCAAATACTAGAAATTAAGGGTGTTAGACCAAATAATATTAAAATCAATTGTATAAAGTGTAATGAATTAATAGTTAAATTATATTAATAAAAAGTTTCTAGGATTTAAGTCTTAATTATCTTATATCTTTTATTCAGCAGAAATAAGAGATTAGTGAAGACATTATTCATAGAGTTAAAGGACTTTCTACTCATAAAGGAGGGCGTCCTGAGTGTATTAAAGTGTATTAATCGTCTTGTGAGTTGTGACAAAATTTAAAAAGAAAATTTAATAAGATTTAGTAAGATAGTTTTATGGTTACCAATGCATTATGGGTTAAAGTGTTGGATAATTAGGAAACAACAGGTAATAAATTACTGTAGCTAACATGGGAATTTGAAGATGGATGAGAATACTAAAAAAGATTAAGCATTGTCCACATTCATTTACAATAACATGTAACTTTGATAAAAGATGGGATCAGATTAAATCATTTAAGATGGGATAGACATGTCCAAAGGAGAACTACAATAAATTTGTTAGACCGTGATTCAATAAAGATTAACAATGAAAATTTTATTGAAAACAAGAAATAGGATTTGATTAATTTTATTTTGGATAGTGATATTGCTCTACACAAAGCATTGCAATGAGAAAAGATTTGACATTAAGAATTCTTGTTGTTATTTAGTTTATGGCATGCTTTGTACGTAATAATGCATCCATGCTGATGCCTTTGTGTAAATTAGAAAATTCTGTTCATTATTCAACACGGAGTCTTGGGTAGTCAAATTTATGAGTCATTCAATTGTGTTTTGTATAAATTGTTAGAAATCAGAGACATTGATGGCCACCTGGTAGACTTCCTGAATGGAAAACTTGAAATCAGAGACATTGATGGCCCCATGCAAAATTTCTTGCTTCTGTAGGAAGCATAATTTGTATGAATAACATGCCTCAACTAACATTCTTTTATTTATAACACCTTGAACTCTCTGTGCTAATGTGTAGGACGATGAACGACAAACACCGCTTCACTATGCTGTTCTGTGTGAGCAAGAAGCAATTGCTGAGTTGCTCATCAAGCATCATGCTAATCATCATATTAAGGATGAGGACGGCAATTCTCCGCTTGATCTCTGTGGATCTCAGTGGGCTTTTATGGTGACATCAAATTAAACATTCTTTTATTTAGCGAATGGTAGAAGATCTTAGTCGTTTACATGTATAATAATGGATTTATGTAGCTTCAAGCCCGCTAAGGAAAAGATTGCATCGACATCCACAGTTCATACATTCTTTCTGGCAATAACAGACTGAAGTAGTTTCACAAGAGAAACATAGCGAGCCAACCGAAAGAGCTGCTTTATTTGGCTGGTGAACATGCTGCTATGCTTCTTGTTGTTTCATTGGCTTGACACGCCGTCCATTTTTTGTGTGAAGTAGATTGCTCATTCTAGTATGATTTAAAGGGTTTATTAGATTCCTGTCTCTACCAGCATCAATTTTGCGTAGCTTCCTCGGTTATTTTGGGGAAGATTACTATTTGCAAGCAGGAAAACATGCCCAAAATTGCTCCTTTAGATTGGAGTATCAGCTGCGCAATGGTATCTGTCCTGTCAGGTTGAATTTGTGACGTAGAAGAGAATTCAGTGTTTACAGAAGGAAGCCACAGATTGAGCTTGCCATTGAACTTGACATAACCCTGTTAGTGTAAGTGTTTCCCTGTGCTTACTGAGCAGAGACAAAGTGTCTCCCTGGTAGTCGAAGCGATGCATTCATTCTAATTGGGCAAAGCATATGATGTACTTAATGTCATCTTTGCCGTCAACGAATCTCTTTATTCGCGATTTGCTTTATTCGAATCTCCTTTGCTTTTTTCGGATGAAGCATGTATTCCTTTAACCGTTTTGTATATATATCTATGTCTGCATTATCGAATGATATCGCCGCAGATACAAAGTATTAGGAGGGTTCTTGGTCGGGATGACTATGTTCCTTGGAATCAGCTTCGTCATCACTCCGCCAACAGTCTCGATTCCGAGGGTAGGCGGTGCCACGTCCAGAACATCTCATCACGCTGACGTGGACCATCAGGAACTCGCCATGTCACACGGTAAACCAATAGCACAGAGCCATGTGTGCCACTAACAACTCGATTCGTCTTTTGGATTCTAACGTTACGCAAACATCGACCACTAACAACTCGACACGTTCGAGAATTAGCCAATAGCTTAGAGCCATGTCATTGGACCGATACGAGCCGTTCTTTCGGATCTTAACGGCGTGAGTCCTTCGCGTGTTTTATTGGGTGGACTTGGCGGGCCCATGTAAGCCCACTCAACGGAGGCCTATCAGAGATATAAAAGGCATTACTTTTCATGCCCTTGTTGAACGTACCAAAGTGTCCTACCAAGACTGTGGTTGGAGAGTTCATGGGACCCACATGCACCCTTTTTAAAATATATTTTAAATGACAAGGTAGGCGGATATGTGGATAACGGAAATTGGTAGAAATTGCTTTTCAACGTTTCAGATGTCTGACCGGATTTATAAAGCAGTCAACGGAAGAAACAGATTACTTGTTCATGCAATACATTGGCACAAAACAACATAAAAAAAATTATTTATAATATCAGGCAATATCATGCTTTATTGTGCATTTTGGACAAGCAATTAATAAAAAAAATAGTATTTAAATGCGCGCCGATAAGAAATTTATAGTAAACATAATAAAGACATTAAACAAACAAAATTCTTTGATATATCATTACCATTTTATGCTAAACAATAAAATCTTAAAAGGTATATTTGGAAACATATTTAAAATATGTACATATTTCAAATATAAATTAATATTTGATATATTTAAAATTACATTTGATCTGAGGAGGATGTGATGTATTCAATCACTAAGGTAACATTAGCATTTTAACATTTGTCAAGATGTTCATAATTTTTTTAATTTTTAATATACCATATAATACTATTTAAAATAATGGAACCCTAAACCCTCATTTAATCTCCCCTTCTCTTGATTTCTCCGATTCATTCTCTCGGTTTTTTATTTTTAAAAATTATTTTTATATTTTATTTATATGATTAAATTTTTATTTATTATATGTCTGAACCCTACAAATTTTTTTTATAAGATTACATATATTATATATATATATATATATACTTTTAAATAAATATTAAATTTAAAAAAAATAAAAAAATTGATAGCATATATTAAAAATGTTAGAAGAGTAAATTTATCATATAATATATGATAGGCTCTTGAAATATAATTTCATTAAATAACACTTATGTTAACTTACATTTAAAATTTAGTTTTAATGTAATATTTCTCAAACACTTAAAAGCATTTTATAATTACATATGCACTCAAGTCTTTTTCTTCAAATGCATATTTAAAACATAAATATGTCAAAAGTGCCCCTTCAAAAAGATATTATTTTTTCTCACCCAATTCCAAAAAAAAATTCCTCTAATTGTTTATAGTGTTTTTTAATCCATAAAACACTACATAGTGTTTAAAAACGCTATAAAATATTTTTGTTTTGAAAACACTATACAATATTTTTAAAACACTATATAATTTGGGCAAAAAGAATTTTTTGAATTTAGGGAAAAATACTTAATAACTTTTGAGGGGTATTTTTGAAAATTTAAAAAAGGAGGTTATCATCCGAAAAAACTAAATAGAGGATTTTTTTTTTGGATAATCGTCCTAAATAATATAAAAAAGAACCAAAGCTAACAAAAAAAATATTGGATAAAGAACCTCCAAATTCTACGGTCCATGATTGATTCATAAAAACTTATCAGTCATCAAGATTGCAACCGCTTGATCAACGGCATGGATCTTTGGTGAGTTACTTCGATACACGAGTCGTCCGTGGCTGCCGACTCGTGGTCGAGACCGGGTAAACTCGAGTACGCCCGTCCACCCACAGGCTTATCGTTCACCGGATGGGTGTTTGGATCGAGGCTTTTGTTGAACGAAAGGAATCAGAGATCTGAGGCAGGAAAGCGCGATGGAGACGGAGCGGTGAGGAGGAATCGAGGCGAGAGGCAAGAAACAATGGAACGCGTTATCAAAGCCGCACGGTCGTCCGGATCGCTTAATCTCTCCAATCGCTCACTCAAGTAACTGGTTCCTCTCCCTTGATGCCTTAATTTCAGCTAGCAATTTCGTTCTGGTTTGGGCATTGCAGGATCTTGCTGCTGCTGTAGCAGTATCTATTCGATTTAATGAGAAAATTTGTCTTTGTATATAACTAGATCTGATCCATTTTTCTTCAGATCCTTAGATTTATAGAATATAGTCATTCGATCGTCACTTTTAATCCTGTTTCCGTTCTTTGCAATCAGAAAGGCGCCGTTTTTTTTTGTTTGGTTGGATTTTTAATAACATTCCATCATGATTTTATTTCTTTTTAACCGTTCCAAAATGTGGTAGGGAGGTGCCCGAGGAGATTTATAGAAACTTGGATTCGCACGGGGAGGATGACAAGTGGTGGGAGGTAAAATTTTCTCTTTTCTGATTCTGAGTGGGAGAGCCAAAGCTGCATTTGATTCTAGCAGGAATTCACTCAATATTTTTTACAGGCTGTGGAATTGCAAAAGCTGATTTTGGCTCATAACAACCTTGAGGTGCTGAACGAGGATTTGAAAACTTTGAATATGCTGACTGTCTTAAATGTCAGTCACAATAAACTATCTTCGCTTCCGATAGCTATAGGAGAGTATGTATAGCTATACTTTTTGTTGTCTTTTAGTTATTAATATACACTGTTTATTTATGGCTACATGTTATTCCTTGTTAATCAGGCTTCCATTGTTGAAGGCTCTGGATGTGTCATTTAACTTGATAACAAGCATTCCTGAAGAGATCGGCTCTGTGACTTCTTTGGTCAAGTAGGCCCTTTCGCCTTTATGCAAGATTAGTAAGGATTTACCAAATAAGAGTTAAGTGTAACACTAGATCATCTTCTAGTATATATTTTTGTCACATCAGTACTGAAGAAACTTCTAGGTAAATCATCCTCTGTAAAGCATAAAAAGTGTCATAACCTGAAGGGCATACATGGCTTGGTGATGGGAATATTTGTGAATATCTAATTATCATAATAAACTCATGATATCTAAGAACTGTATATTTAAACCATGACTGGAAGCATTAATTAACGTAACATAGAGAACTTATTAACTGCTATATATTCTCACTTTTGAGTTGATGTACCATAACACATTGTCTAAATTGGCATGCGCTAATTCTAGTTATGTAATGATGCAATAGCATTAATGCACAAAAGGTGATGAATCATTTTATTAAAGAAAATGAGTAAGTCTGACTTTATGAACTAAGATGATGGACAAACTTTTTCTTTATATTCTAATATTACATTATTTGAGCATGTGATGTTTTCCTCTTAAATATTTTGTTTCAAGTATGTTATGCGATTTTGTTGGTGAAGTGCACCAAGTTGAGTTGAAGTAACAATTCATTCAGTTGATGCGAATTCTGGGGAAATCAAAACTTAAAAACTGCACAGTTTCTGTAGACATAATTCATTTTCTTAGAAAAAAATGGAAACATTTCCTGTTCAGTAGAACAATTTGCAAGATGTAAATAGTGTATCGGGCTATTTTGTCTGGATATTGGTTCATGATAATCAAGTTGAGAACTGATCTTCCGAATGTATTATATGTATAGATATCAACTATTACTTCAGTTTTAACAGATGCATTGTTCTTCTTGGTGAATTGGACTCTTGTTGAGATAGAGTGCATGTGTTATGATAAATTGGTCTATCTTCGAAATTTTCATTTTGGCCGAGTATCCCAGGGTCATTCTTAACATCACACTACAATTATCCAGCTTAAGTCAATGACAGTCTATGAATAAGTTAAACCCTTTAGGATGATATTAACTCTCAAATATAGGGCCAGCAATGGTCACATTATTTTGAGATATAAAATGAGACAATCTCAGCATAGTGGAATTCACATATGTTCCATCCCTGCAGGCTAGACTGTTCAAGTAACCAACTTAAAGAACTCCCCTTCAGTCTTGGAAGGTGCTTAGATTTGTCAGAACTTAAGGTATTCCAGTATTGGGCATATTACATGCTTCTTTTCTCTTTCATTCCTTGTCTTGGATGTAGATGAAGAGGGGCCAGTAGCAACTTTACAAAACAAAGTATAGTTTTGAACTATTTTATTCATTATCTATATTCTAACTAGATATTTATATGGCGATTTTTATCTCGTTTTCACATCTTGCGTTCTTTCACATGATCTTTAGGCATCAAATAACTGCTTGACGAAATTGCCAGATGAACTTGCCAACTGTTCCAAGTTGATTAAACTGGATGTTGAGGTAAAATTGTTGCAGTTCTTCAAGCTTTTAGTGAGTAGCTTTCATCCACATTCAGATAGCAGTCAAAATCTGTTAGTTCTCATATTATCTCAGGGAAACAAGCTTACGTCTTTCACTGAGAAGATGCTGATGTCATGGACTCTGCTGACAGAAATCAATGCTGGTATGTAGCATTTAATCAGCTATTATGTTTTATGTTGAACTTTTCTTGTTTCCATCCAATTTTCTGGATCCTGCTTGAATATTTCCTTTAGTGTGCTAAGTTTCTTCTTTTGGTCTTCCTACAGCAAGAAATTTTCTCACCAGCATTCCAGAGAGCATAGGTCTACTTGTAAAACTGATCCGACTGGACTTTCATCAAAATAGTGAGTGACATCATCCAGTCTCTTGATAGCTATATATAAGTTTAGTCAGGGCGTTTATGTACTTTCTGTTGCAGCTTTCTGATGCCCTCTTTTGTATATGTTTTTATCTCTAGAAATATCATCAATTCCATCTTCTATCATGGGTTGCTCTTCGCTTGCTGAGTTTTATATGGGGTGGGTCCAGTTTGCAAATTCATTATGTACTCATAACATCTTCCTTAAAAAAGTCTATTCTTTAGTCCTTATTGTTTCATGCTTGTTTATTTCCTTAAATTGCAGAACCAATTTACTATCATCTTTGCCAGCAGAGATCGGTGCACTTTCTCGTTTAGGGACTTTAGATCTTCATTCGAACCAGGTAAACAAAATAACTTATAGTTTGCAGAACCAATTTATTTTTCTATTTCTATTGCAATTAGTGTTAGTCTTTTTTGGAACATAGTTTTCTGTTGATAGTTCTGGGAGGTTTCTTCTCCACCTTGATTTCGAGTTCTTGTTAGAGACAACACCCTAAAGAATCAGGATTTGGATGTGATTAAGAACCTAAGCTATAGGTTTTGGCAAATTTAGATTTGTTAAGGAAACTAAATGAACTAAAGGAAATAAAATGGAAGCTCAAAGTCCAAAGGGTTATGCAGGATGTCATTGCAGAAAATTTGAAACAGAGCTGAAAAATATTGAGATAGCTAGGGAAGAACATAAATTGCTAGATTCAGCACTACCCAATCTAGGCCTTCATTGTCACTATGCTGCATAGTTGGGATTTCTGTTCAATAGTTGATGATTGGTTAAACACGTGGTCCTTGGCAATGCAGATGTTTGCAATAAGCAAAACTCCAAGCTAACGTTGGTTTATGCCAGTTCTCTTTTTTTGGTGTATATAAGCAGTAAAGTGAAGGTCTTTTTACTAAAAATGAGAAGATGTCAAACCATCTTATCTTAACTAAGTGATCAGCATGGATCTAAGTTTTCCAAACCAATCCTCAACTGCACATTGGAAGGTGTATGTATTCCCTATCTTCCAAGGTATACTTTTAGAAGAATTCTTGGAGAAGTTCATCATTAGCTTAACTTCTTTCGCCTATCTGTATACTTCTCTTTTTCATGTTATGAGCTGCATGAAATACTAATTATTTGATCTAAGAATTTAAATTTTGGCAAGTTTTAGCTGAAAATGAGACACAAAACAGAGTTTACTTCGGAAAATCTACTATGTAGCATAATTAAAGAGGTTTTACACCGCACTGGCTAGATATATTACTCAACCGATCTGGACCAAGCTATAAAAATTGAGTGCTGAACCATGGGATGGATCCTCCTTTTGTTGCTCCTATATTTTTTAAATTCAGACAGCTGAAGAGGGAGAAAAAGATTAGAAAGCCCTAGTTTAAAACTTCTTTTGTTGTTTGATATGTTTTTTCTGAAGCTTGTTTGTTAATCAAATAATACAAATTCTGTTTCTTTTGTTCATCCTTCTGCATTATCATAGACTGTATATTTAATTTTATAAAATTGTGAGGAATTAATTAACTGATGGTAAGGCTACAAGAGTAGAAAGTACATTCTAAAATTGCAATTTTAATTTTTTTCTTTATACATATTGATGATGACTCTGTGTTTATACTGTTGGTGTCACCCTAGTCGCTGTTCTATTTTGTCCTTTTCTTAATTCTATAAAGTGGTTAGTCCTATTGCACACAAAAATATGCCTGCTAACTATCAAACTATACCAAGACTTACTTTTGTGGCATGCCTTCTTGTCAATAAAGCTAGGTTAGTATGTGTAGATTGGGATGAGTTTTGTATCAGCTTTGCACTATGTCGGCATGTACCCTGCCAGGCATTATCCTGGCCTTATACCTTCCGAATTGAACAGTTTATCACATGCAATACCTACATATCAATGACATTTTATTTAGGTTAAAGGTAATTTCTTGGGCAAGCTATAAAAGCTACGTTTTGCTTTTCCTTTTGGTAGACATGCTCATTTCCAATTGATATAGTAAATACCATAGACATTATACTAATAATAATATTCATCGTGTCATTGATGTATTTGATTTCACTCATTTTAGCTGAAGGAGTATCCTGTGGAAGCCTGCAATTTGCGACTCTCTGTCCTAGATCTATCCAATAACTCATTGTCCGGCTTGCCAGCTGAGATTGGTATGGTTAACATATTTCAGTTGTTATTGGTGTTTGGCTCTTTTGCTTTAGTAAGCTGTTTGCTTTAAACTTGCTATTCCAAGCATAAACTGCTTTAGTTACACGATTCTGTCTTAAATAAAGAATAATAGCTGTGTGAAGTCTGCAAATATGTTCTAGTTGCGATAGATGATTAGCCCAGCATATATAAGCATAGTGAGAGATCATGAAAGTGTTATTCTGATGGTGCAAGTAGCACCAAGTTTGTTTCTTATATTTGGTGAAATTTTCATTTCACACCCTGTGTTTTGGAAATACTATAATTGACACCCTCGTTTGTCAATAATCACTTTTGACATCCTTTAGTTTCAGACATAATTAATTTTCCCTTATGGTTAACATCAGTTCTTAAAGGGAGTTTTCTAGTAAATATTCCCTTTGACAAACCATCAAAACTTTAATGATGAAAATGCCTCTTTTTCATAATTACAAAATATTACAGAGTTGCATGTTCCATCTTTATCCTTCTCTTTTCCACTGTCCTACCGTCTCTCCCTTCTCTCTCAGGACTAGTCCATCCCTTTTCTTTGTCTTTTTTCCTCCTCTAGTCCTTTTCTTCTGCCTTTATCTTTCCATTCTTCTCCATGTTTTAGTGAAGTTGAGCACTTTCTCATTTTGTGGAGAGGAAGTACCTCTGTACACATGTTTAGCTATTAGAGATGCAGTATTGTACCTTCTAACAATGATATGATAATAATTAGCAATTTCTTCACTTTTGCTAGCTTGCAATATACTACCATAGACACATTCTTTGTTGATGGAATAATGATTATGGTTATGATCCAAACTTTTATATGTAATCAAACTTTTTCTCTACGTGTACTATCTCTACTACTTCATGATGAATTAGTGGATGAACTTTCATGATTCTGTTGTGTTTCATCACCAACTTGGCCGGCTACAATTTTTCTCATCCTCCCCCTCTCTCTCCCCTGTCGCCGCACAAACCCCCCACCCCCCCCCGCCCCCCCTTCCCTCTTCTTTATCTCTTTAATATTCATGGTTTTTATTGTTTTATTGAAGTGAGATTGACTTAAATTTCTAATTTATGTTTAGGTACAATGACTTCTCTAAGAAAGCTATTGCTGGCTGGGAATCCCATAAGAACTCTTCGAAGGTGTCAACTGTTTGGCTTTTGTTGTTTATCACATTACTTTTTATTTAATATGACAATATGTTTTATTCTGAATATATCTTCTGCTAGCTCATTAGTGTCTGGACCCACACCAATTTTGCTAAAGTATCTTCGGAGTCGGCTTTCTGCTGATGAAGGTAATGCCAGTTTCTCATGCAAAGTTGATGACTTTTACTATGCTAGTGCTTCATCGTCTTGAATGTCTCTGAGTTCAATTTCTTCACGATTGTAACCTTTTGCATATTCTTTTGTAGTACATGTAATGTTTAAAGTGCTGATTATAAGTCTTTTTTTATTTTTCTTTTCTTTGCCATTATGGTTCTGTGTATGGTTGTTGTGTAGAATCTGGGTCCGGGACTAAAACTATGAAGGATGATCAAATTGCCAGAGCAACTCGATTGTCTTTGTCTTCAAAGGTAGAGCTTGCATATATGTTGTAATTGCTTTCTTAGTTGATTAATTTGCTCCTAGACTTGAGTGAAACTAAAATTTCTTATTGTTACCAGAACTAAGATCAAGATGCCTTCGGTACTATAGCATGTAACATCTATTAAGCTCAAGGAATCAAATCTCTATTCTACCAATTTGGATCACCATACCTAGTGATTCTCCTCCTCTTCCTCTTCTCCCCACCTTTTCTTCCTGTCTGCCTCCTCGTCCTGCTCTTCTTTGCCTCGTCTCCTCCTCTTCTTCTCCTCCTTCCTTGCCTTCCCCCTTCTTGGTACTGCAATACATGCTGTATACTGACATACCATGTGTCTGTATGCTGACACAGCAGACCCATACTGGTCCAGCCATGGATCGTCATGGGTTCGATACCTGAAATGTAGAACCTTGAGTATTAGTATGGTTGGTGTCACTTATACACTCAGTCATAGACAACAATGTTTGTTTTCAACTTTCCTGTTGCTTCTTCCTCAAGTTAAACAGACGTCAGTCTCTCTTTTAGAAAGATAACAATATGTTACTTGTGGCACATCCTTCTCTTTTATTAATGTGCTACTTGATCAGGAATTAAATTTGAGTGGTCTAGGATTGACCACTGTACCTCCTACAGTATGGGAGACGGAAGATGTGGTAAGAGTTGATCTTTCCAAGAACTCGATTGAAGAGCTGCCAAATGAACTATCAACTTGTTCATCACTTCAGGTAATAACACAATATGATGGTGACATAGAATGTAGTTTTGCTTGATGTATCAGATTATTATCTTTGTATGTAATTTAACTTTTTGCTTAGCAAACAGTTAATTTAGACAGTCAAATAGTTTTGGTTAGTCACATTGTGAGTGATCTCTTGAGATTGACAATTTTGTCCCCCATCCAAAGCAGTTCTCGACTCTCTTGTTTACGAAATTCATCAAGAAAATCACATGTTTTCCAGAAAAGTCTATGGAACAATTGCAATTTTCCTTCTGAGAGCATAAAGAGTGCAGGGGTTTCTTCCTGTTGCAGCATCAAAGTGGTATTCATGTAATGATACCTGAACTTCACAAGATATTAGGTCTTAACAGTCATAGAATACCGATCTAACCAACGATTTCTTATAAATAGATGCACAGTGATCTTAGACTTTCTATGGCATATTATTGCCTTAATGTGTTGTGTAGACACCTATTAAATCCAATTACAGATGGTTGTTTGATAGTTTCAACAGAGCTGACCTTTATTGCTTAATAGACTGGATTATCTGATATTCTATACTATATCTCAGAATATGCAGTCTGGAACGTGTTCACATTTCTTCATGTTCACAATTTGTATGAACTATATATTATCTTGTGATGCCTGGTCTTCATGTACTTATAATGTTGTGATGTTCGCTTGAGTCCTCATGTAAAACTTGTTAACAAATACTATTTAAATGTTAAATATTCAGGAGAAGAAAAATAAAGGAAGAATGATAAAAGATAAACATGAGAGTGAGAGGCATAGCTCAGTAAGATCGGTTGTCTTCCTCATTTTAATTGACCTGGTCAAGGTTTAAAATTTTGGTATGATACTGATGTTGACTTCATATCAGACTGGTATGGTGCTGTTATACTGGGTGGGCAGGTAGTTTACCACCTGGATTACCCAGTATCATTGGAAAATGATAAAAAATGAACATCGGCCTATACAAAGCTACGAGTCTGTTAAATACCAGGTATGTATACTGGTGACTGATATTTGAGACCTGGAAAATGGTGCAAAGGTGATTTGGCAATCATCTTTCTTAGGACAACTCAACAGCCTGTTTGTTCTTAAGTCCTATTATACACAAAACTGCTCATTAAAGATGTTCTTAAGTCCTATTTTGACAGTCATCTGTTCAAAATTTCCCGTTTTGTTTACATTATGTAGTTTTTTGGATTTCAAGTATTCCTGCCATATATAATTCAAAGTTAGACTTGTACATGCAGGCCTTAACTCTGTCAGGTAACAAGATTAGAGAATGGCCGGGGGCAGTGCTGTCCACTCTTCCTAATCTTTCTTGTTTGAAGTTGGACAATAACCCATTAGTACAGGTATATCTGGTAGTGATTAACATTGCAAATAATGTTGATGGTACCTTTTTTTTGTATTTGATTCTTTTGATGCTTTTTCATTAATACCTAGTGTTTACAGATTACACGCAATGGCCTCGAATCCCTTACAAATATCAAAATATTGGATTTAAGTGGCAACAAATCCTCATTGCCAGAATCTTTTTCATTTTCCAGCTTACCACAACTGGAGGAACTTTACCTTAGGTTATTAAGTGAATGGTTAAACCGTTACAGATATTTCAAGCTTTTATAAAAAAAAGTGTATTTATATTGACTTCTTCTCCCTCAGACGGATGCAACTCAATGAAGTGCCTCAAGGCTTGCTGACCTTGCAACGATTACAGATTCTTGACCTTAGCCAAAATAATCTTGCCTCAATGCCCAAGGTAAAATCACCTTTGATATCTATATAAAATCACCTTTGATATTTATTTAATTATGATAATTCAATTTGTTTTTTTCTTGTTATATTTAGCCTGATATATAACTTAGCATTTCTGTTATGATTGATGCAGGAAATTAAGGGTTTAACTTCACTTGCAGAACTTGATCTTTCAGACAACAACATATCCATCCTTTCTCCGGAGATGGTCTGGCTGCTTTGCTTATCTAGCTCTTAGTTTACCTTCAAATATTAATGTTTGAGCATTATATATTGTGTTTTTGCTGACTGGTTATAGAATCTTTTAACCTTAGGTTCTGTTTGGTCATCATCAATGCATTATCATGTTTGGGTTTTTTGGTATAGCCACATGGCTGAATATTGAACTCTATAATTTAGAGAGAAGCAGAGGCCAATAAAGTGTCTCACATATGTGGTTTGCTGCAAGCTAAGCTATGACCATAATCTTGATACATATGCAGGTTAACTTGGTCAACATTAGTCAACATATTGATGTGATATCCTTGGCAACATATGTTGAGAATTGAAGGAACAAACAAGAAACATGCACATTACAAAATTGAGATTTTTTTCATTAGTTAAAAAGAATATTTTTTATGTTGAATATTCTCTCTGCACATATTAGGTTCAATTAAGAAGGAGAACCTTAACAATGGAATACAACACACATGTTTGATTAGAGAGTTCCTGCTAACTATGAGCACATATGGTAAAAATTTTTTTCCCTTTTTTTTTCAGGGTTTGCTAGAGCCCAGTTTACAGGTTTTAAAACTTGATGGGAATCCACTCAGAAGGTACTTATGTCTTGTTATTGAAAAATGTTATTTTGTGTATCACTTACAAAAGTTTGTATATCTCCAACCCCATAAAATGATCCATCAAAAGAGCATTCTTACTCAATGCTTTCAGTCAGACCACCTATTAAAGATCATGCTGAATTAGGTTGAGTCACTTAATAACAGGATGAAGGGGAGGGCACAAACCTATTAATGATCCAGCTGCACCCATAAAGATAATTGTTGAGGAAATGGTTCTGAAAGTGGCCCAAGGCTCAGTTTTGTCTTTGACATCTTCAACTTGAAAATTGTCCCATGTTTTGGAAGCTTATTATAATTATTGTTTTGTTCTGGTCATGGTTTGCATTACCGATCCGTACCAGTGTACAGAACAGCTGTCAGTATAGTACATACTGAGTTGTACCAAGCTGTACTGAGCATACCGACACACAATATACTGGGGTGTACCAATGTATTACCCATACTGATCCTCTGTCGGACTGGTATGTACCACCCATACTGAGCGGTACGTTTCGGTATGTCAAACCTTGGTTCTGGTAGATATTCCATGTGAAGCCTTTGTAACAGCAAAACCATTGGTTATCATATTGTGTTTCGATCTTTTGTATTGCAGCATTAGACGACCAATTCTAGATCGAGGAACCAAGGCTATTCTCAAGTATCTTAAAGATAAACTTCCAGGTCAGTAGTTCGGCAGTGCAGACATGGGCATATTTCCTACCTTATGTTATCATTCACAGATCAGATCAGATCGCAGCAGTCTTCCAGATGGCAAAAATTGGTCTGACAAGAAGCGTTCTGTAGTCAGCTTTTTCCTAAAGCAAATGGAGGGCCTAAAATGCTATGTACCAAATTTTACCATGCATTTTTGTCGCTCATTCATTTGACACTTGAGTGTGTTAATCATGCTTTGTAAGCTGTTCTTGTGTTGCTTGTTTCTGTAATACCAAGACAGACAGTTGATTCTGTTTGCATTTTTTTTGTTTTATCAGTTTTGTTTATGATTGGATGTAAAATGATGCATTTTAATGGATGAACCATGTATGCTGGCTTGATTTTGTTGTTCATCAATACCAAGAATTTGTTGTTCATCATGGACTCTGATGAGTGCAAGATTTGACTTTGGCCAAGCCATGACCCTGCAACCATACAGCTCCAGCTCTACTGGTAACTGTCAAGTGCTTTCAAAGTCTAAATGCTTTCCAGGCATCCCCATGTGACAAGTTGTAGTGGCCAAAGCTCTCCTCTATAATGGAAAGGCTTAACATGGTAGACCCACTAAAACAATAGTTGTTGATCAAGTGTTTGAAAGTTGAAATATCAAATATCTATCTTGTTCTCTACAATATGGTCAATTTCTACTACTTTAAGTTCTTCTCTTATTGTTGTTCATTTTCTTTGTGCAGTAAAAGCCATAAAAATAGACCAGCCTTGCTGCTCCCAAGCGTACTAAGATCTTGAAGCTGCTTGAGCTACTAATTTTCAGGTCCGAAGACGCTGCGACAAATTGCTCTTGAAGCAATGCAGTGGTTGAGCTACTAAGATCTTGAAGCTGCTTGAGCTACTAATTTTCAGGTCTGAAGAAGCTGCTACAAATTGCTCTTGAGGCAATGCAGTGGTGGCAGACTGAAAGAGTTTGTAATCCTGTAGCAATCCAAGAAGATTGCTTTGGGAGATGCTTGTGTGTCCAATCACATCTTCTGTGTCCTTCAAATGGAGCTCAACCTCTTACTCCTGTTGCAGCAGCATCAAACTAGTCATTGGTGAAATCTTACATACCCTTAGAGATGATTAAAATGCAATATCACTTCATTTTCTACATATATTCTACTTTCTTTAACTTTTCCCTTCCTATAAATGTATAGGTCATACAAACACAATTCTTTTGTTTGATGTAGAAGAAGCAGTCAATTGAACATTTGAAGCAATTAATGCAGCTCTTTTATTTGATGGAAGACTCATTCAGTTACAATAATACATGCCAATTAAAATGTTGCAAAGATTTGGAATCTGTCTTTCCTGATGAGATCAAGAAATGATGACAAATTGGCAGTCCATGGCAACATTAGTGTTGGCAGCCAGATTGTTGCAGTCCAGCAGAAATCAGCATGGTTTTAATAGATATATTAACACACCAATAATATGCTGGGATGAAGCCATTAAATAAGGTCTCAATCCAAGATAGTATATGTGAAATCATAAAATATGATTCAATAAAGAAGAAAAAAGAAAAAGATATTACTGAAGGCAGTATTATATCAGTAGCTATTTTACATATATGTACAACAACAACAATAATAAAATCGTAATGCTCCGACTATTTAATATCAACTATATGAATGAATCATATTTTTAATTAGATTAAAAATATTTAAATCTTTATCTATAGGGATTAATAAAATCTTTTTTATCTCTTTTCGTACCACTAAATATGAAAATTATAGAAATGTCTGTCTCCTCCGAGTTTACCATTGCATCAATACACTAGCAAGTTAAGATTGCTTTCTAAAATGCCTTTCTTGAGTAGAACTATTTTTTTACAAATATTATTGTGAAAAGTCACATTCCTCCAAATATTATTCTAAATGCATTTAAGTCATTTGACAGTTGAATAAAATTAAATTAACTTGGATTTGATATTGTATGTTGATGCAATTGAGACTTTGAAGGGGCATTTTTGCAAACTCCACAAAGGAACTGATAACTGATCACAAAAATACAAACATATGGAGAATATAACATGCATGATCTGAAGAACTAAAACAATCAAATCAACCCCATTTTCCAATCTATATAGCCTATGAACACAGTGTTTGACTGGAAGCAGATGCTGATGAAGGTTTTTGAGGATTACAAGAGAGTTGTTCTACTTTCATGACCAAATCAATCAAAGTATTCTTTTCCCTTTAGATTGTTTGTCAGCAAGATTGAATAAGTCAGAAGATTTTTTCCTTCATCTTATTTCCAATCATAATTAAATCCATCAAATGATTCTTTACTTGCAATAAGTCATTGTGCAGTTTACATTCCAACAAAGTGATTGCTTCATGTATTCAGAAAAGACATATTTAGGAGCAGAATGAGGTCACTAGTGCTGTAGAAATTGACCTTTCGAATAAGAAAACCATGGATGGATTCATCGGTAAAGCCATGATTCCCACAACCTCCTGTCAACCACCCCCCTTCTCAACAATGCGTCAGCTGTCGGAAAGGTAATAGTAGTTGGAGGAGAAAAATTGTCTCATTGGAAGCTCTTCTAGAGAAGAACAAACGGCAAAAGGAACCCTAAGAGGCGATATGGTTGAACTTTCAATCAATGAGCACATACATTTATGTTACATGTAGATAAGGATATGTAGAAAATTCATGTTTCTAGTTCAATTAAATATATTTAATTTTTTATTTATAGAATCCAATAAAATCTTTTTATGCCTTCTTCTTCCTCCCATCATAGCGCTCCTAATAATTGTTTCACGCCGGCTTTCCGATTATAGCACCTATAGATCTTCCAAGTAATCTATATATTTTGTATATGTTATTTCTTGATCATCATAAAATTATGGATCTAATAATGATTATGTATGACAGACTAAAATAATTGGATTATTAGTATCATAAATGAAAAAGAATAAGAAGGATATGTTGGTAGGTGAATTATGCTGATAAATTTGGTAAAGTAAGAACTAATGTTCTTTGGTACCGCAGAATGATTGCAACCTAAATGAAGTGGAAAGTAAAGGTGGTGAAGTGGAGCTCTCAAACATTTGTTTCTTGGAGAAAGAACCCAATGCTTATGAATGAAAACAACATGCCATCTTATTCCTCCACACAATCTTGTCTTCCATGTGATGAAAGGGCTAAGTCAGAAGTTTTCTTCTGCATGACAACATTGTTATCTCAACTCCATGATATCCTCCTTGACACTTAACTTCTGGTGTGGAGTTTTGCGCCCACAAGAAGACATGACCAAGAAGATGACATAGTTAGGTAGAATCTCTCCATGAAACTTTTCTACCACAATTTTGTTGGCTTCAGAAAACTAAATGGATCTGATCCACTGCAGACTGGCCAACATATTTCCATGCTTACCTGGATTTTGATCTTGACATTTGGATAGTCTACCAAGTATATCAAATGGAGTTTTGAAGTACATTGCAAATTATTTTGACCTTCTCTTCACTCTCAGGTTGCTGATATTTTTTGTATACCAGATAGATCAAGATTATTATTAGCATCATGTGACAAACACAGACACTTTGGTACAAAGAAAAGAAAAATTGGATGTTAATTCTTCTAGAGATTTCATCTTCAGAAGCTTTTTTTAGTTATCATCATCACAAATCATTGTGAGCTTTGATGAAAACTTTTTCATTTGTAGATTCTTCAGCATATGCTGCTCATCCATTCATGTCTATGATGGGTCTTAAAAAGTAGAAGGAAAAGATCTTGAATCTGTTAGTAGAAAAAGGAATCCTACAGCTACAAGTAATAGAATGCAAAAAGGGAGGAGAAAAAATCTCTGGTCAAAGTTTGAAGTATGGTCAGTTTTCAACAACTTTTATTTGACAATTACCTCAATTTGAATAGAGGATTTGACTATATATTGCAAACACTTTCTAACCATAATTACTTCTATCATGATTTGTCTAATTCTGAGATTATGAAATAGATTTGGATATCACTCGATTAGTATAGTGGTGTATAACCTTATCTTATTCTCATAGGTTGAGGGTCCGAATCATTGTTCAATATTATTATCATCTTTTATCTTCGATGACAAGCGATACCTGTAAAAAAAATATGGATTTGATAAATTTTAATCTATTCAATGACTATAATATTAATTTTACCAATAAGAGTTAAGATGATTATATTTTTCAAAAAGTATGTTTTTTTTGAATCTTGATAAATGTAAATGAGTTGTAGGGTATAACATAACCATATGATTATGATCGTTGAGACAATTATTTTGATGTGTAATGTACTATTAGTTATGATATAACTTATATTATGATCTTTGTATATAGGCATATATTGAGTTAATGCTATTTTATTGGAACGATGGCAAATATATCACTAAGAAGGGTTTGTATGGTTGTGAAATATGAAATAGCCTCATTTGTGGTATTTGATATATCAAGGTTGAATAAGCTTGATATCTTCTATAAAACCAAATGTTGGACCATAAGAAGTTTTATCTATTTATGGAATGTATTTATTATGTGTTTGATGCATTAATGTGAGTCTATATCCACTCAATTATTGAGATGCATTAATGTTTACTAGCATCTTATTTCAATTTAATTTCCTTAGAAGCAATGTTAGTCATCCTACATATACAATCTTGGCTTGTTAGTGTACTCATTAGAGACTAATGTGGATGCAATTCCAATCAAAATTGTAGTTGTATCAACTTGACTCTGATTTCATCCATTAGTTACATTGATTTATTTTAATTCTCGAACAAAGGCAAGTTTAATCCTATTTTTGTCACTTATGATATTTCAATACACGAATAGTTTGATTAACCAAAAGATTCATATTTCATCGTATCACAATCTTTCATACTCATCGAGATACACTTTATAAACCTCTCGATCATTCGACGTATTTCTTTCTTTTTAAATGGTAAATAGTAAGGATGAAATTTCATCGATCAATAATCTTATACATTGAGATACACTTCATAATACTCTAAATCATTTGTCGTATTTCTTTCCTTTTAAATGATAAATAGTAAGTAAGGATAAAATTTCATTGATCAATAATCTTACACCATGAGATACACTTCATAATACTCCAAATCATTTGACGTATTTCTTTCTTTTTAAATGGTAAATAGTAAAGACATGATTTATTAGTGTCAATATTCGTGAAATGTAATCCATAGCTACTGTGGGAGTCGAATGGAAAAGATGAGAGCAAATCTATGGACGTCACTGATTACAAGAATGTGGTTCTTGTGCTCGTCTCAATCCTAATCGGTAGATTCTTGTCTCGTATTTTTAAGTAAGGGCCCCACCAAGTACAGATTCTTTGAATCCATCATGTTAGATTTTCTCTGATTTTTATTTTTATTTATGGTACGTAATTGCTCCATAAGATATGCCTTCGCCATGGTCTATGAATTTTACGTAGCATCGTGATTGAGATCGAAATCAATCAAATGGAGTCACATTGCTTTTGATTTCCTGAATATGAATCTTTAAACTACTATTAATGGACTGTTTCTTGTCCACCATACGAAAGCTCGTTCGTCGATCCGAATTGTGTCTCATGATCTATTGGCATGCATGATGGACAAGAAGAGATATCGAGAAATCTTTAATTGTTTTTTTTCTCAATGATTTAGCTAGTAATATTTTCTTTTAAGATTACTATCTAAAAATGGATAGAAAAGAGATTAAAAATAAAATGAGTTATAGTAGGATTTTGTTTATAACTATGTTAAATATCGTTGGACGAATTCTCGAAAAAGAACTTCTAATTTTGAGAGATTTTTACATGACATCTCAATTTTTAAAAATTTTAATAATATATAAAAATATCATTTTATCCAAGTTTTCGTTGGACCGTCATCTTACCTTCCCTCTTTATCAAGGATTACAATGAATGGGAGGTTACGAGTAGACGTGAACCCTTAGTTGCCTACGCCTTTACATCCAAGTTGGCTTACGCGTTTGGTCACACCTTTGACTCATCGAAGCAGTGATAAGACGAAGACAATCAACGATCGGATAAAATTATTATTTATAAAAAATTCTCTCAAAATTTAAATTTCTATGGTAGAATTTTGCAAAATTATAAATTTTTTTTTCTGAAAATTCCTCCTTGCATTCACACGTGTGGGTTGCTAGTGGCACGTCGAAGCCACGCCGTCGGGACCTTATCAGAAAGGAAAAAAGATGGGCCCACGGGATACGGACGAGTGGGTCCCGCGTCCCGACCACGACCGAAACCACGAAGCGGGAAGGAACGAGAAGCGAAGCGCACGCGGCGAAGCGAACGGTGGCGGCTGTCGACCACCGCTCGTAACGTGGACCCGATACGAAACGAGACGACCCGCAATCAGCGCCACAACCCAGCATCGCAATTATAATAGCAGCAACAACGGTGGCAGCGGTAGCGGTGGAAAGCAGGCATCCCATCGGCCTCGACCTAAGCCGATCTCTCCTCGTTCCTCCTCTCCCTCTCCTCCTCCCATTCGGGTTTGGTCTCGGTTTGTTCCCGGTGGTGGTGATTTGGGAGGTCAAGTTGATTCGGATGAACTGAATCTTGGTGATTGGACAGGATTGACGGGGTTTAAGGAAAAGATTTATTCGGATTTGTCAATTTTAATGCATTAATAGATAATCGAAACCGGAAGGCTGCCTCTTTCCTTCTTTAGCGTTTGGAGAGTGGGAGATAAGGAGATCATAAATATTTATAGAGTGAGAAATCTCCTTTCTTCTTCTTGTGCCGCAATTGCTGTTCTTGTTTGGTCTCTAGTCGTGCTTCTTCTTATTTGTGTCGTGTTTATGGTGTTTATTTGTGGAACACAAGATGGAGAAGAGGAGTAGAGAGGTAAGAAAGGGAGGCCTGTTAGAATAGTGAGGCATAGGGAAAGGAAACGATGGAGATTACTGCGCGAAAGCACTCATCGAATCTGCAGTCTTTCCTCGCTCATACCACGCCTTCAGTGCCTGTTTATTCTCTCTCAAAGGTGCCTCTTTTTTTTTCGATTTTCGGTTATGTAAAGATCTCCTGTTGTCATTTCAGCAAAGTCACGAGGTTCCTTTTCTCTTTTGCTGTTCTTTGGCGACTACCATATTTACTTGTATTGATCTGGCAAGTTTTCTTTGAAAAATCTATGCTTCAATATAATCTTCTTGCATTCAGATCAAAATATGTCGTTTCATCTCAATGGACCTTTCTATGCATAAAATTTAAATGGATATGAAAAGATTGTATGGTGGATGGATCGATATTTGGGCGTTTGATTCTTGTCTTTGCTTGCGTTTCTATTGAATAAATTAGGCTATTTCATAGTTTTGATTCTCTGATTTATAATGAAGCCAACATTTTCATAGGTCTCTGTAGTCTTAAAGAAGAGATTGGCAGACATGAACAGTGTTAATATCAAAAGATGACAATTCTAGTTTTTTTTATTGTTATGGGACCGATGTTGGAATTGTATTTTCTTCTCTTGTTGCAGATCAATTAGCAAATTCGGATGCCTTTATCTGACTTCCATTCCTGAAACAGCTTCTTTGTATTTCTTGTGATTGTTTGGTTAATTAATAGCTATTACTTTTATCACTTCTGAAAAATTCTGGTATAACAACGCAGCCGAATACACGAGACAATAACTTTTGGCAACCAACTGGCAAGGACAGGTCGGAGTATTTCACCCTTGGAGACCTCTGGGACCAATATAGTGAGTGGAGCGCCTACGGTGCTGGTGTTCCAATCGTCCCTGACAACTATGAGAATGTAGTCCAATACTACGTTCCATACCTATCTGCTATCCAAATATACACTAACAAGTCTCTTCCTTGTTCAAGGTCAGTGATTAAACCATTGTTATGGAACAGTGATGCTGCATATGATTCCAATCCTAGGAAATCTAATATACGCTGCATTTTAATTTTCTTTTGCAGGATTTCGCTGGAAGAAAGCGAGAGTGAATCGTTTAGTGATGACAGTGAGAGTGAAAAGATGTCCAAGTCATCATCAGATGCTTTGTCAGAAGATTCTGATGTTAGCCAGGAGAGTTCATTGCATTCAAAAGAAACCCTGGGGCAGCTTTACCTTCACTATATAGAATATGGTTCTCCTTATAGAAGGATACCCCTCGTGGACAAGGTATAGATTTTTGTGCCAATGATTCTTGTACGCTCATTGCTTTATTATGGTTCATTCTATTTTGATGAGTTGAAACTAAATTATTTTTAAACCTGCATGTCTATTTGTTATCTTCATTCATTTTCCCTTAATTGCTGCTATATAGGTAAATGAATTGGCAGAACATTTTCCTGGTTTGATGTCATTCAAGAGTGTGGAAATGTCACCAGCTAGCTGGATGTCTGTTGCCTGGTATGTCCATTTCTTTCCTTTGATATTTGGAAACATTGGGAAGGTCTTTAAAAATCCTGGGTTATTGGGTTCACTTCGGATCCCATGGCTGAGTTAGCAGTGGTATAGACTTCTTTAGTCCATAGGATGATGATTGCATAGCACATGAGTCTTTCATTTTAGTCAATTATGTATTTACTAGGAATTTACTGACATCTGGAGGTTTCTGATTGAGTTGCAATTTACTGACATCTCTTTCACCACAAAGAGATGGCCATTTCTATTTCTAATTCCTACTATATACTTTGCATAATCAGGTATCCAATTTATCATATTCCGATATGTAGAAATGCTAAGGATTTATCGGCGTGTTTCCTGACTTACCATACTATATCTGCATCATTCCAAGGTATGCATTTTTTTCTTATGAAGCCATTAGATGATCAAAGCACTTCATCCCTTTGTTCTGTAAATATGTTATTTTATAATAGTTGTTTAGAAGTCGTTTGGAACGTGCCTTGCAAATATATTACTTCTCTTCTAAAATTATTTGCTAGGAAATGGTTGTGTATCAGTATCTTGATATGCTAGCATAAGTTCTCCAAACATGTCATGGTGAAGATAACACCTGATACGTAAACATGACACAAATAGGAAGAAAAAACTGCATCTATTGCTTTGTACAGTTATTAGGGTTAAGAAGCTTTTTAGTGAATACTGGTTGAAATTGACACGGATACCACATAAATTACAATGAAAGGTGTTATATTGAGTTAAAACTTGTTCAAGACTTTCTCACTTGCTAAACAATTAAGAGGATCAAGTAAGTACTGTCTATCCATAAGGTTCATCCAGAAGATTAGGGCTATTCAGACAGAGAACAATTTCTCTTGCCCCTGCACAAATTTGATTTGGATGCACCAGCATGAATACTACTATACGCACCCATCCCACGTATTGCTACAGGTCGGTACTGATTAGTGTGTGCTGGACCAGGCACTACCAGTTCAAGTAATTATGCTTTTGAGCCCTATGATAAGTCATATATCAAGAAAATGTGTGCAAAAATCTTGTAAGGATGCTGGAGTCAGGAAGTCGATTTTGAGTAAAAAATCAAAACCATAAATGTCCAGTGAATAGTAGTACCAAAAATCTCACTGTACTAAGCATGTTGAAGGTCATCATCCCTAATATAAGACAGTTGTAGATTGAAATTAGTCTATACAACTCGTTGATGATGTTCTCATGGCCATTTGAAACAGGTTGCACTTGAAGTGAATTAGAAAGAGTCGCAGACTTTTGGAGCAGTATTGACCCCTTTTCCATGAAAACTTTGGTTGTTGTGTTAGTATCATTCATGGGATCTAAAAAATTATAAACTTGATCACCAGCTACATATACCTCCCGTGGCACCATGATATTCATTTTGGTACTAGTATAGGAAGACATTACATAATGACATGTTATTGAACATATTTTTAATGCTCGTATGTTGTTAATTAATTGTTTTATTTTGCATTTTGGACATTTTACTAATGTTTTTATTGTTTAAAATGTAAGAGGCACATAATTAAGTCAACATAATAAAAATTTTATGGTGATCGGCTGGTATTAATGCTTGACCATACTGACCTGGTCAAGCACTGGTGCCAACACTAATGCTTGTATTTCAATTTTAAGCCATGCTTGCCGATGGCATTGACATGCAACAGGTTATCTTTAACCAATGGCACTTAAATGCTTGGCATGTTTTGTCCATTATTTACATAGAAGAACAAATAGTAAGTTATGTGTCATTGTTAGCCATTAAAGTGGTGCTGTTGGCACTTAAATCCTTGCTATACATTTGGTCCATGTTTTCTTAGATAGAAATCAAGAAAGAGATAGATGGTATGGATACCTTTTCCAAGCAATATGTATTTAGTGAATAAATTACTGAATTGGCTCATATAGAAAATCAATATGAATGTTGCAAAACATTTGCTGTTGGTGAGAACATGACTCCATTGCTTTATCAAGAACTGCAGATGATTGAATACTCTGTCCTATTAACTAAGGTGCATTTCCTCAGAGGTACCAGATATACCTTTATGGTTATTTATATCATGTCAGTAGCAAAACCTGAAATGAGTAGCTATAACTTGTATTAGAAAATTATGTGACATCTGCCTGTTACAGCAGTTAAAACATTACTGGAAAATTTTCAGATGCATTTTCAAAATTGGATGTTCCATTGTGTTGATGTTAGTGCATTTTCGTTCTTTTTTATTCTTATGTTCTACAATTCATCTCATGTTTTTTAAGAATGTTTTCCAAGAATTCCTAGTCTCTATTGTTCATTTGCATTCATTTCACATTTTTAAGAATGGGTTCCTAGAATTGATAATATAACTCGTGTAATATTTTTCTTATGTTACATATATATTTGATCATGTTTGACGTGTATGCAGTAGAGTAGTGGCAAGGTACCTGTTATTATGCCATCTCTTAAAATATATGGATTTAGACTTCAAAGATGGATTAAGGTACCAAGCATGCTTGATGTCCTTATATTTGGAAGACCACCTCTTAAAAGTGCCAACAATTTTGTTCCAACAGTTCTTTGTAGCTGTTATGCTGCTGTGACAGTTTTACTAATATCATCTAGTCTCACTATATTCTTGTAATGTGACACCCTTGCAGATAATGTTGGACATGTGGAAAGTGCAAAGGACTTCTGTTCTACAATATCGAGAACAAACCGAAGGGAGCAAAAGATAGGGAACAACTCAATTACTCTGTCGCCATTTGGTCTCTCCACTTACAGAATGCAGGGGAGCCTATGGAGAAACTCAGGAACTTCAGACAACGAAATGATAGGGACCCTCTACAATGCCGCACAATCCTGGTTAAACCAGCTTAGAGTTAAACATCATGACTTTGACTTCTTCACCACTCACTCAATGTAAATAGTTCCCCCTTGTAAGTTTTTGGATGTCACCATAGCATCACTGGGCTGAAAAGACTGTATTGCTGAAAATTCTGTCTTCAAATAACGTTGACAGGTTATGGTGGAATCATCGGTTCTTTTTCGCTAAGGAGCCGATGGTACACTGAAAACTCTGGTTAAAGAAGGTTGTGGAATCATCGGTTCTTTTTCGTTAAGGAGCTGATGACACACCAAACTTGATTGTAGGATTTGGTTGTAAAAGTAGACCATTTTGGATTTGGACATTTTGGTTTACACTACTATAGAGTTTCTACCTGAGCCCAGAACAGAAAAAGTACATTTCAGCTACATTTGGTCTCTATATATGCTCTTCAAAATCACATTTGTGCTTTCATTGTCTCTTGATGATCATCTTTGGCATGTTGGTTAATCCATCAAAGGTGGCATTAGATACACCACTAGAATGCTCTTTCTATTTCTTTCTCTGTCAAATGGTCTTGAAGCAGCTGCCACAATTGTTTAGTGGGGTGAATTTAAATTTCTGCTCAATGGTGAGCTTCATTTTTAGGCAGATTCTACTTTATATTTCTTGCAGCTTATTCAGCAACAGATGTCAAACTACATCATAGCAAATATTTGTGTTGTGGTTAGGAAGCTTTCCACAGAGTATCAGGATATATGGTGATTATAGATAAGATTATTATTACAGGAATTTGACTAGGACTATAATGTCCTACTAAAATTGGTATGTGCATGGGATATACATGGCTTATGGTTTGTAAATTTATTGAGATGCAGCTGGTGAATAAAAGATTTAATTTGGAACTCCTATTATTGTCTCTCTATTTTCTCCCTTTGCTATGAATATTCAAGTTTCATACCTTTCAAACTATTTCCCAATATGGTTTTATGACAAGATAAATGATAATCTTTTGTCATGAAAATAATGTGTTTTATTTTGTACATCGGGATGATGAGATAGACCGTATGAGAATAATATAAAATGTCAAAGCTTGCAAGGATTATTATGCATGAAAATAACATAAAAGGAGATCACATGAATTATTTAAGATTTTTTATTTTTTTCTAAAAAATTAATTTAGGAGAGGATCTTGGAACATAAATATACTTTTGAGCTATAATAATATCTAAAATTTGAGAGTTGAGTCGAGATAAGATTATCTTTAGAGAAATTTGGTTAGGACTAGAAGTCTTGATAAAATATGTAGCTTGGACTTTGTAAACTAAGTAAGAAGGTGGTGTTGAATAAAAATCTTAAATTAAAAAATATTATTTTGGGTACCCTATCGATCCTTAGTTGATATATATCGGTCGGTACTGGTGACTCAAGTTGATATTAGCGACTCAAAGAGAGAATAAGAAGAGGAAGGGGTCATGGAGGAAGAGCAAGAGGAAGAATATTGAAGAAAGAGAAACTAAGAGAAAAGAAGATAAAGTATAAGGAAGAGAAAAAGGAAAGGAAGAGGAGACGCAAGAGAAAGAAGAATGACACAACAATTGATGAGTGAGAACAAAAGATGAAATGCACAAGGAGGGCTCACATTCGAGCAAAGAGAATGAAGCATATCCATCGACAACACATGATGGATGGTAGGCCACAACAGGAGACAAACATGCAAGGAAAGCTCATATATAAGTTCACAAACAGCTACTTCACAAAAGTCATGTCATGTAGATATCTCCACAGCAGCAATTTGTGGCAATCCTGTTTTCTATGATTATAGTGTATTTTTTATATGATCTATAAAGTTTTGGGATGGAGTTTTTGAACCACAGCAGAGTGGTAGAAAAGACTTCTTCCAAGAGCATCAAACATACACAACAGCAATGATTTGTTATAATAAGATCTAACAGACCAAAATATTTCAAACATCTTGACCATCTGACCACTCCTGTTATATGAATCAGGGGAGCAAAATCAGCAAAAAAGGCCAGGAACAATTCCTTTGTTCAAATCACTCTGAATACGAGTATCGAAGACTATGCTGTTTCTGATTACATAAAACAATAAAGCCAATAAGCAGCTCCTATTAACTCGTACAACATTATAGTTGATTTTGTAACACAAGCATAAAACCGTTTGAAGTTTCAGGATCATGATGATTTAGTCCCAGCCAAGTCCTCCAACGTTAGGTTCAGAGTGTCAACTGAACCTTTCTTCACCTCCTCTCCTTGTGCCGCCAAAAAATCCTCGACACTACCCGGTTCGCCAAACCAACCGAGTCGATCTGCAATTAGGTGAAGATTATTGCATCCACCACAGCGAGCCACCACCACTCCCTTTTCATATGATTCACGGCAGACTGTCTTCACTGATCTAGTCTCACAGACCTTGCATGTAAAGATCATGGCAAGATCATGTCTCGTGGATGCTTTTAGGCTAGAGAAAGCTCTATACTTAATGTTGTTCTCCTCATCAATTGCACTAACTGTTTTGATTGAGTTGGAAACTGGTTTTGAATCATCCTGACAAGATTTAGAATTCTTGTCATCTTTATTGACTATATTAGGTGTTTCTGTCTTTGTTTGGACACCTCTTATGCCCTTAGCTAAACAGGAACAACATGCATATCCTGCATCAACAAATAATTTTTATGTTTAGTATTATGAATAATCAACTTCATCGCAGAATGTAAAATTTCTGACATTTAACAGGAAACACCAGGAAACATGATAAAAGTTGACGAACTAGAAAGGTTGTAGAATTATCTAGGCCATCCCAAGGGATGGCTTATTAGTAGCCAATGCAGAAAATATACATGCACAATTAGTCTTTCACAAGAAAGTACAATATTTTATCTAAATTCATATATCAAAAAATATTATGATGTAAAACCTTAAAAAGAAGCCTATGTGAAGGAACACTGACATCAAAGTATCATATAGAATATCTATAATTTTGCAATAACATCTTTTAGTGTTCCTTTGAAGATAATCACAGTACTATGAAAATAACAACAAACCATAATGTCCCAACTCTTTGAGATTGGCTACATGAATCCTTTGTGCCCATTGAGCTCTGTACCGTAATGTCCCTAATAAGCAGATAATATTTTAGGAACAACAGAAAAAAATAAAAACATCTCTTTGCAGCAATAGCTTTGTGGCCTCCTCATCCACTGAATATGGATTACCACATCAAACATAAACTTAAATTTGATGTTTCTTTATTTTGCAACTCATGAGAAACTCGTGCAAGAACATCATACTCATCGAACAACTTCAGTGATGTATGTTCTCTTTCTTTCACTGCTATTTCTCAAGTTTTTATTTTCTTTGATGTTGACACTTTGTGATGAACAACACTAGGCCTTCAAAGCTGCATTTGTTGTCAATAGGTAGAACCCTCCTTATGCTTTATTCACAAATGGCCAACTTTGTATTCTACCCCTGACAGAAATATCAGATCAACCAACCATCACCTGGAACCTGGAAAAAGAAACTAATCCTACCAAATAAACCCTTCATATTTCACACTTCAGGATGGGGGCAAACTAATGCTTTGTTCCTGGGGTAATCCAATTCAAATGTTCATGACAACCTAAATTGATAAGGATTTTGATTATGTTACCACTATCCCGACAGAAGCTGTTTCTAACACTCATAAACTAAGCAACCCCATGAAAACTTAATTCCACACTTCAATTCATTCTTATCTGTCTTAAACGAGCTTTAGCTCCAACAAAGGAAGCATCATCAAATTTCTTGAAGAGTTGCTATAATAAACCAAGAGGCGAGCATTCACGATACAGAAAAAGATAGAATAAATAGTCAATATTCCCGTCTAATCGTCATTCTCAAGCACCAAAATCTCTCGACAGAGTCTACATACTACTATCTCCTACAATTACTTAAGAAGTTGAACAAGGAAAACGACGACCCATAAAGCGCCTTCATGTACTTCCAAATTGATCTACAAAACATTAAAGATCTTTGGCTGAAAATAATTACAAGAGGGCCGAAAGAATTGCGACAAAAGTTCGAAAAAACATTTGATGCAAATCTGGAAGAGAGATTCTTGGATTAAAAGAGGTACCTTGGGGAAGAAGGTTTTGGGATCGAAGACTTCGATCCAATAGAGAGGTGAGCCGCCTCTCAACCAACCGAGCAGTCGAAGCCGCCATGGGCAAAGGCAGAGGGAGGGAGAGAGCAAAGATCGATTCTTTCGGTCCTCGCCAGATCTAATAGACCGCCATGGATTAAACCAAGCCGACACCGGTCCGACTCCCAATTTTAAGCCGACAACGGCCCGACCCGGCTCAACTATTTAAATGCTTCAGGAGGTGTCCTTTTCGTCTCCTCCCAAATCCGAGCGAACACCAAAACCCCAGAGATCCTGCGGCAACCAAGGAAGAGCAAAGCCAGCAGCGAGACGCTGAGGGCTCTTGGGGCGGCCATGCGCCACAGCATGGCGGGGCAGCAGTCGATGGATTGTATGATTTCTCGAATTCTATAAATCTCTTTCCAAGTAGGACATCATCGTGTGGTCATATACATCGTTCTTTTGGGCTGTTTCCTGAGGTAAATTGTATGTTTAATTTAGCTAGATAATTAGTTAGCATCCTCTTAGTATAATATTCACGGGATATGGATTATTAATTCAACTTGATAGCATATATGAATTAATATTTGATTTTTTAATGGTATAAGATTTGAATGACAGACATGTAAAAACCCTAAATTGAGATATTTTATACTGCAAAAAAAAAGTAGTGACTTGGGGGGTTTGCCTATAATCGCATAAGATATTTGAATGACATAAGATTTTTTTGAATATTTTTTGTTTATGAGGTGATGATTGAAGATGGAGTTTTAAAAGTTATTTTAATGGTTCATCATCCTGATAAAAGAATGATTGCATCGAAAGTTGAAATTAGGTTACACATGTAGGGAAATATAGTTATCCACAAGCCTACAACGTGAAGTTTTGTTCTGAAAAAAGAAAAAGTGAGGTGAATGATTTTGAGATATAGACAATTGTAAAGAAAAAAAGTTCTTTTTTGATAGAAAGACAAAGAAATGAATGCTTCTCTACAAAATTAAATGTCATCATTGGTTCACTTCCCGCCATACATGATGAATTGGTTATTTATTTGTATAAGTGTTGAACCAAGTGTTTTTCTCTTTTTTTTTTTTCTCAAGACAAGCTAAGGTTGAGAAGAGGCTATCCTTGTCTTGCCCATCTAAAAGGACCCGACAAAACTCAAGGTTAATGGAAGTGTAAAATGATGGTGAACCATGAACTAATTCATGTGTGTAATTACGATATAACCCCACAAAACATGAGGTTAACAGAAGAGAAAAATGACGGTGAACCATGAATTAATTTGTGTGTGTAATTATGATGTATTTTTCAAGTCGGTCAATTTTTCATGTTTTGCTACAAGAGACACAAAGTTGATAAAGTATTATCACCAAGATAATGACTATTATGTTAAACGGATTCATTACTGGAAAATATGTTTCTTTCAATATAAGTTATATGATAATGAATTCAAGTTTGAAAAGATTTTTTACTTAAAAAAAAAAATCCTTTCGTGGTCAGGGACTTGTTGCCCTATAAATACCTTATGAATCTCAAGGATTTTATCAGGTATAATCTTGGAACTTTCTCTAGTTGATCCAGAAAAGTTATGATAAAAATTTGTCTTCAAGGTTTATGTATTCATACAAAAAGTTGAGTATGAGTTAAGTCAAGATAGAGTGTTTTTCTTCCAATATTTTATTATTCTCATATGAAATAATCAAATTTTATTCTCCATGGATGTAAGTAAAGGTGATGAACCATACAAATCTTTTTTGTGCTATTTCTATATTTGTATTATATTTTGTTGTTTCTCTTTCTTGTTCCTTTGGTACCAGAATATTCTTTTTCTACGCTGGGATCACTATTTCCTGCTAGGATCAACTCTATGGTGTAGTCTGGTTGTATTAACTTTTCAAACTAACACATCAAATATATATCTAGAAATTTGGTATGTTCTCCTTCTAATTATATTTTTTACTTCCAATCTTTTTGGACAGGTTAGGTGACATTGCTGAGCATCTACTAAGTTCCTCCATCCCTTAAACCAAACTCTCACCATTATGAAACAAAAACCTGGAATTGCTGGTGACTGGCATGAACCCGTGATGCTTCTCGCTAAAATTCCAAGCCAGGAAGGCTTCAAGAATGGGCAAAAGGACGGCTGGCTTGATTGCTGGTGGGGGTCAAGATAAGTGGAGGTAAAAACAGGTTGTTGTCAAGTAGGGGAGGCGCTTGGCTTCTCTCATGGCTTTGTTGATGTTTGGAATTCAGTGATCTAATTTAACCCAGTGGCACTCTCTCATCCAGGCTTCAGAAAAAGCATCCAACAGAAATTGCTCAGAAGATGATGGATGCAATCAGACCAGTATCTTTAGGCATTATGGATTACATATGCAACATCACACTACACATCATTCTCATGGAACTATTGCCTAAGCTAAATGAAGAAAAAAACTTCAAAGAACATCTGTTCTCAGACAAAGGTGAGCTAAATCCAGTGAAGACAAACAGCCTTCCACTCAAAACTTGGAGCTGCATCAGCATATTCCCATGGTACACATCTTCTTCTCTTCTAGTTCTGTAGCCATTTGTTTGGACTGCTTTCCCGTGGCACTGCGAGTGTTTCCTGTGAATCCAGCTCCTCTTCCTCCTCCTCAATGGTGTCCAACATCTGCGGAGCCTTGTGCTTGACAACTGCGATCAGCTTCGGTGGCGCAACCTCTGTGACGAAGTGGAAGCCACAGCCTCTCACCATCTCTGAAGCAAGGATCGAACGCCGCAAGATCAAAAGCTGAACAGAGAGGATTTCAAGGAAGGAAGAACACCGAAGTCTTGATATCCTTGTGGTGCTCTCCAATTACCCACCTGCAATGTATTTAAATCAGCAGCAGGAAGAGATCCGAGCGCTTATACTATTTTATGCCCACATGATTTGTATGTGCAATTTACAGCCACATGATTCTTAATCGTTTGCTTGGAAACCACGTCTGTGCAATGTATTTAAAGCAGCAGCAGGAAGAGATCCGAGCGCTTATACTAATTTATGCCCACATGATTTGTATGTGCAATTTACGGCCACATGGTTCTGAATCGGTTGCTTGGAAACCACGTCTGTGGTTGTCGTTGGGACACGTGTGTCTTGTGCGATATAAAATTGAAGTCACGTGTGTATCAAGTATTAATCAAAGAGCCTGCACGATTGTCACGTGTCGATCAGCGTTTCACCAAATGTGACAATGAGATGGATATTTTGAGGTAATTATTGGTACACTCTTCTTACACAGTGCTAAATAGGAATTTAAATAAGATTACTATTTATATATTTATATTTATATTTATCTTTATATTTGTGTACGTCTTCCTCACTTATCTCAGTGAAAATTCATCATTTATCTTTTGTGTGTGTATATATATATATATATATGTTTCTTTTATGTTATCCACAAAGACTTTGCGGCCCTAAAAAATGGTGAACTAAGTTTTAGTTTTCCTTTTACCGCCACCGAGAGGGGAAGGAAGTGGGTGCGAGTGTAATTCTGGAAATGGCTCTTCGAGGTGGCTTCCTGTGCCCTACATATCGGCTCCCAAATCCATTCTCTTTCACCAGCAGGAGCCGAGATGCCGGCCGACGCTTTGCCGAGAGCGCCACGGCCGCCGTCGCCGGTCGTCGGAAGCGGCCACAGAACGTGGAGGGGGAATTCTTTGTAGGTAAGTTGGAATTTGAACGTGGAGGGGTAATTTGGGACTCATGACTTAGTTTTTAATCTTTGTTTGTTCGTCCGTAGATCACCTGTGCATCGATTGCGATACCTGCCGTTGGATGGCTCCGGTGAGTGATCGAGTTGATGACAAATTGCTGAACCTGTAGTATTTGATAGTTTTGGTGTTTATGTGGGGTTATTTGTATGCAGGAGGTTTTTACGCGGGTAGATGACATGTCTGCCGTGACCAGACAGCCGAGCTGCGAGGAAGAAAGGATTAAAGCCCTCCAGGTAAGTAATTGTTAACTCCCTGCTGCAAATAAATAAAGTTTCTTGTGATCCTGGTAATTAATCAGGTAGATTTTAGGCAACTAATTAGTAAACTTCTTTTCTGAGGGAAAATCAAAGGATTGGATAATTAAGGCATCCTTTCTTTTCACCTTTTATATCTGTTCCTCTGAATTGTCTTGAAGGTAAAATTTGTTGAGGACCTATATTAGAGAGTTGTGAGATTTTGACAATAATGAACTTGAGTACTGGATATAATTGATCATCTAATTTGTTGTGATAAGTGAACTGTACTGAAATTCTTGAGTTCATTTAACGTAAAATAGAGTCTCTTAACTCGCTAGGGCTGGTCCTCAACAATTTTGGTGTTGTGTGATAAAATCTTGCTACAATTTGTGGACCAACACGATAGAGTTATGATATTTTGATGATAAATGAACTCAACTATTTCAGATAGTTGTGTCAGTTTGGATTTCATTAATGCACACTAAAAGAAGTAGTTAAATAGTTAAACTTATTTTCTGGTCAAGTAATAAAGGCACTTCCACTACTTATAGACTTGCTTTTTGGAAGTCAGAGAAAAACAGATCTTTGCTCTTTGGTGGTGATGTGCAATCTTAAATGCCTTTATCTATCAAAGGAGGAAGAAATAAAAAAAATTATACAAATTTTGGTTAACATTTTATGGTTTGCAAATTTTCTTTTTTCTTTGCTAAAGCCAGGCATTATAACCCTGAAATAGTTTCACATAGATGGGCATGAACTAATGATCTTAGATATAATTTAAGTTGTGCCACAAAATCTTCCCCAGTCAATTTATGTGCCTTTTGGGAACATTTCTTGGTCATTGACCTAAGAATATGGCAAAGAATATTCTACTCTGCTGCATAAGATTCTGGAAGCTTAAGGCCATTCAAGTAGCAGACTTTCGGAAAAAGTAGCACCGAAGATTTTTATGCATGGAGGCATGCTCCTCTAACTTTAATCATTATATTCAATTGCAGGCATTGCTTTCTTGTCCAACCAGCTCAATACACACTGAGAGGCCCACCAACAAGATTCTCGAAGTTCAGAAGATGTTTCCTCTTCCGATAGATGAGCAGAAAATCCCTGTATGTTGCTGCTTTGATTTTCTTGTTATCTGCTTAATTAATGCATTGATCTTATGCTGTAATGTAATATGAATTTCTGGTGTAAAGTTCAAATGTGAAACTTTTGTTGTTATTTTCCTCTATAAATCCTCTCTCCAACCAACCAAGTCAGCAAAGATGGGATCTACTTTATACTTGGCTTGATATTGTCAAAAACTTGCTCAATACCTTTTACCATTCAACACCTCAAAGTCCAGATTGAAGCCTCGAACCTTTGTCTGCATTTTTGATTCAGTTATGAAATAGCAAATGATTTTAGAGGAGGGAAGGAAATTATATAATACACAAAATACATGGTTAATATTGTAATCCTAGATACCGCACTCAAATTACAAACCACTATATATATATATATATATATATAAAATGTGATTTGATTTCTTGAGTAAAAAGTTGCCTTTGAAAATTCTGTTTCCACTATCATTGGAAAATTCAATTTTTACCGTCTGCTTCTATCAACTTTCTACTTGATTCAATATCTGATGAGTTGAGATATTTTTTCTAGAAATTAGAATGACCAATAGGAGAGAAAGTTAAGATAACTGCACCTCTTTTCAACATTTATTATTGCATTTTGTATAATTACTCGCTAATGTGCAGGGTGTCTATCATTGTGGTTATCACTCTGAGAGATCTTATGGTGCAACTTCCTACTTTGTCACTCACCCTGAAGGGAACATACTTGTTGATAGGTAATTAATCTCATTGCAGAACCAAATAAAATGTTACTGGATGATAGTAACTAATGCTAATGCAACCACTTCCTTAATACATAGATCATGCTTCCCACCTTCCCAACCTGTCCAACAGAAAAAAGAAAATAAGAAAGAATGCAACAAACAAAATAAACCTAATATAAAGAAAAAAACAACACCCTTTATCTAGTGCCTGTCTCTTAAAATGTGGAATCACATGTGTGTTAACCACAGTTCTTCTGATGAATAGAGGCATTATAATAGTTTTTCTATGTTTTTGACCAATCTTATATTTTATGTGACCTTTTAACTGGATGTATATTACAATATTAAATTTTGCAATGTCGCAATGCTAAGTTAATTCTTAATTACTTGCCAAAAATAAAAAAAAGTTAATTCTCTAATTTTCATTTGGGTCATGGACCATCCACTCAAAATTACAATATCTGATTTAGAATTTCTCAAGGTCCTTCTGGACAATATACCTGACCAAAAAGATTTTGTCACTTCCTATCTCACAATAATTAAGATCTTGAGGTATCAGGAAATAGATAAGGATTCTTTTAATTATTTTAATTGCTATTTTTTTATGAAGTTATGAGTCACTTTGAATAATATTGACCATAGATACATAATCAAAGGAAGCTGTTTCTTTCTGGCCCTCATTCCTTCATTTTATGTGTCAATCCGGGCTCTGTACATGGGAGAGGATTTTTTTTCTATTTTTATTGCAGCATATAAATAGAAACATCAACATAGAATATTTAACCATAGAAAGGAAATCAAGTGTTAAGAAGGTTACTCTGATGTCTAACAATGATAAAATTCGCTAATATTTACTACCAACTCACAGCAGATACTGCAGAATAACAATATAAGAGATCAGAAATTGAACAAGCTTGAGGAATAAATTGATTTTTTTCTAATGCAGGCTTTTTCATTATCTGGCATTTTAAGACCCACAAACTGAGATACAGTTTCTTTCTCACTTAATTTTAATTGATACCCCAAGGTCTTAATCCAAGTTAGCCTTGTATTTAATTTTATTGTGCAGAAATTTTGTTGATGGTGAGCAAATATCCTTTCCAATACCAAACAATTTCCACTTCACCTAAAGTGTCTTGTTACAAGCTGCTGTGGTGTAAATTGAGGAAAATTTGATGAAATTTTATAATTTATAGATTTTTATAGTTGCATTGAGCTTGTAGCATTCTAATTTGTCACTCATTCATATTTTTCATTTTTGACTTTTGATGCAATTTGCAGAGCTAATTAATCTACTGACAAATCTTGCTACTTGTATAGAAAGTAAGCTAATCAGAAGACATGGTTATTCTGCAGCCCAAGATTCACAGAGAGATTAGCCTGCAACATAGAGATGCTTGGAGGCGTTCGCTACATGTTTTTGACTCACAAGTATGTTATTGGAAATCTTCAACTACAGAGCATTATTGAGGTTTGACAAATGTCAATCAGTGCCCAATATATAGTACGGCTGCATTTGGGTGAGCTGTATTCCTCCTGCCTGTTGGGCACTGGCATTGTCATTTCTGCCTCGGTTATATTATTCCTAAATTTTTGTTAAGAATAATTAGCATTGAAGAGCAGGGACTGTTACCAATTTATAATAACAGGGATGATGTAGGAGATCATGAGAAGTGGAGCAAGAGGATGCGATGTGAAAGAATTCTCCATTCAGGCGATGTAAGAAGTTACACCTACACAGTTCTTTCATTGTAGTTGATATTGTAAATTCCATTAGTTTCAGTTGACTACACTTGTAATCTCATTATCAACTATGCATAAGCAACATTTTCTGGATGTGTCTATGATGATGAGGTATAGAGGATGATATTAATAGCTCTTCAGAAAGTTTAAATGAAAGAAACAAAAGATATAAAATTAAAAACTGGAACTGAAGGCTTTCACTGCTAAGGTTGTAGATAAGATAATTAAAAAGCAGCTACAGTGTCTACTAGGGACAGTTTTGTTTGTCATTTGCTTTCTTATTTTGTGCATTTGGCTGGCCGAAGAAAATAATGCTTATCCGGTCTAGTTCGATAAATATTAATAGCACAAGATCCAGGAGTCAGAGTGTTGGTGTCCATGAATTGAGGTAAAATAGGTGTGTGGATTTGGAGGAGGCTCAGCCTTAGCTCTGTGATAGAGATCTTATTCTTGTCTCAAACCTGATCACTGAGGATGTGTCTACAAGGTGAATCTCCTCACTATTATAACCTTATTTAAAAACTTGGTCATTAAAGCTCCTGATGCTTTGGACATTCCAAATTTACAACTGTCCATGTGTATGTGCTATATGTTTATAGTAGACTGATGAAAATGAAGTGATTGTAAACAAATTAGTGTTACTATGCACATCCAAGATAGTGGCACGAGGAAGTAAACTATTTTTTTCAGAATAAAACAGTTTCCTATCTATGGTCCTTGATGTTGCAGCAGCTACTACTGTTTTAGATTTATAGCTAGTGTCTTTCTATTGGCTTACAGTTTGTCATGAGACAATGGAACATCAATGCGCTACACCTATGTGTGAATGTTCTTATATCACTACATGGTTACACAGAATGAAAAAAAAAGGTTCTGTAATCTTGAAGTGCACAATTCATTGCTAACAATTTTGAAGTGTGGATACATCATGCATGTACTGTTTCCTTTTCAGTCAAATACATTTTTTAGTTTGTGCGATTGCTCAGATACTTCCGAACACATTACTACATTAGGACATGAGTCGTCTTGACATGTTTGATTTAGATGCCATGTTTATACTTGTTATGAATGAGATTATCTCCTTAATGTTTTGAATATGAATTTGAAGTATTTTTGTGAATGATTGTTCTGATTATATAATGAATAAATTGTCTGAACTGCACTTTACATATAATATGTGAAATAATTATCAAAGTATAAGAGGCATAGGCCTCTTAACTGTTGCGTCTATTTTGCTCCTCGAAGATTAGCTGTGTCAGCATGTTTGTATGTGATTTGCATCATAGCTGGTGATACAGCTATTCATTTTATTTTTGCACTATTAGGATTTTGATGTTCAGCTTCTTGTATTGTATCAGAATTTATGATGTACAAACTATCTCTATTTTGTAATTGCATCAGGTTGAGATTTCTACTGCTGATGTAGAAAAGAAACTTTGTGGGGAAGGCCCCTGGGATATTGCAACTGATCTTAAGCTCATTTACACTCCAGGCCATACTGAAGTAAGACCCTGAAACGTAATATGTAGAATCTATATTTACCCTTACTGTACTTTCAGAATGTTTAAGTGCCATGCAAGAACATAACCAAACCATATGTTGCCACACATGAATCTGTATGGTTCACTGCATAAAAATGATCCCTTGTCTTCACAGATATTGCATACTCAGGATATGGTACTCCTGCTTCTGATGTGGTTTGTTCTGTTCATTTATGTAATGAATTCTTACATTTTCAAGTAATCTACGAAGTGACATGATATTTGGCCTTTTCATTTCGATGTTTTTTAGTAGCTAAGGTAGAGTTAGAAAGATAAAATAATCATAAGAATATTTGAACCAAGCTAGAAACACAAGTCTGTAAGTAATTGTTTTATACTTAGAACTGTGAAGCTCTCCCATTTTCAGAGGTTTTCATGGTAGGTCGTCACTGCAATTATTGTAAATTGATATAGTCTTGGCTTACTTGCACGGAGTATATCTAGTTATTTTATCAGAAATTACTAGTTGATTTTCAAGATTAGCAGTATCCAGGTGGAACTTGGTTTTAGGCTTGTCTGACAATCGACTTGGTGCTTGATTATGCCATTCATACAGAAATGACCTAACTAGACCTAAGTAGTGCATGTTTTATTGATTTCATATGCCTTTTATACCACATAGGGTTCTGTTTGTTTGTACTACAAGCCACTGAAGGTGTTGTTCACCGGGGACCATCTCTATGGATCAGAAGAATCAGATCTAGCATTTTCTGTAATATACAACCAGCAATCAGGTACAAAATCAGCAAAGAAATGATTACTAGTATGTTGACGTACAGATAAATGCTTTCTCTTCGTTTTTTTAATCTAAATGAAATTATGCCGTGGCAGTGAGCTTGCAACTGAAGAGTATCAGGAAACTGTTGGACTTTGACTTCGAGTGGATCTTACCAGGTAGATGTTCTGTTGACTAACTAAATCAGCTGACTTGCACTTGATTATTCTTCTAGTCAATGTGAAATTTGGGGACGAGCTAGGAAACCTGTTACTAATATCTAATATCATACTAAAACAACCATCATATGACTGTTCTAGAACAGTTCTATAAATATGAAATGATGGAAGGAGTATAAGCCCCCAACAGCATCTGTGATGGAGCCTCACTGCAACATCCTTGGAACTATCATGTTCTTTCTTCATGCATTTTCCAATAATCTTTCATCGTTTGTTGACCAATTAGCTACTATCATTTTCAGGTCATGGCCGGAGGGTGACATTTAGAGACAATCAAGAGAAAAATTCAGCTTTAGAAGCTTTCCTTGCCAGGCAAGAGCCATTGTATGCATAACATTAGATGTTTTTGTATATATAATGTACTATATATTCAGCATAATTTTCTTCAGATGTTTGAGTCTTCATGTTTAGTACATTACATAAGTTCCACTAAATGGCAGTACATGCTATGAACATTTGAAAATGAGATAAAGCATTTGACATGCTGATTATTTGTATGACATATCTTTGTGAACGATGATTCAGCGAGGATCTAGAAATATTTTCTGGTACATAGTGATTTTTATTAAATTTATTCAATTATTACACAATATGTGTTGTTGTCTCGTGCGCACTTGCGCATCTTATCAACTAGAACTTCTTACATATGTGACATACTGATGTTGCGGTTGATGCTGTTGGGCTTTATTCTCTAGAACTCTGTTTGTTATATATATATATATATATATATATATATATATATGAACGTCATTATAATTATGCTTCATCAAACTTTTAAGTATATTTATTATAATAATTATTGATGATAATATAAATGAAAAATACTTTTTGAACCAATTATGATGCTGAAAATTCTAAGTATGTTTTAAAGGTGGAGGCAGTGCAGGGTAGAGGTGGAGGTGAGTCCAACAAGGGCGAGGGGGAAATTATCATTTATGGAAAAAAGAGTATTTTGTTAAATTTTTTTAAAGTTGAGATATTCTATGAGAATTTATCAAAGATAAGAGTTTTCTCTAAGAATTCATCTTTTTTTATTTTACTTAAATATAAATAATCATGGTTAATAGGAGTTCTCACCTTACGAAGAGATGTGAAGGATCGAGTGACATATATGCTCTATTAAGATTCTCTATGAGCAAATATCTCACCGTTTGAAAAAATATATAAAAAATACTAAAATAAAATTATCATAAGCTTTTCTAAATTGCATGAACTTACAGACTATAGGTGAGAAAGTAAATTTGTAGAAAAAACACATTAAGGCCTTCAACACATACTATTTCTTAATAATTAGAATGTCTCCTTAGATAAGGTTTATTATTATTTTCTCTTAAGGGGGGAGAGTAAGTTTGAAGTGGCAAGGCACACTAAAAGCTAATAAACATGGACAACATCATGGCACTCAGAAGCTTAGGAGGGACCCATTGGGTAGGTTTGAAGTATGCCAGATGCAGGAAGTCAACAGAAGTCATCACAAATGCACCAAACCTGCCCACTGAACCCCTAACTAGCATATGCTTATGGAGCTGCCTGGAATGTTCTTCTATGTTGGTCTGTGAACTGTTTGACCATACTTGATTGGCTTTTCCAATGTCTACTTAAAGTACAATTCTGTGATTCTTGTTTATTGATGACATTGTCCAGGCGAGAGAGGCCATGGATCCAATATTGAGGCAACTAATCTCTATTATTGCCTACAATATGTTCCAGTCGAATGAAGCATGCAGCTCTGCCCCATCTGCCAACAAGTTTCATCTACTTGAGTTGTTTTGATGCATGACTTCATCTACAAGCTTCAGATTTGTAGCTCCCAATCCTTCTTCAATTTACTTAAAACTAAAAGTTAATATGTGGAAATTAAAATGTTTTTTAGTGTAGAATATTACAGTGCTTCAATAACTTTGGCAACATTTGTTCCCAATATTTATTCGTAAAATTTACATTGATTGTTTAATTACTTCTTCTTGCAAGTAAAATGTAAAATACACACCTTATTAGAAAACAGGAACTGTATGTGTACCTTTACTTCCATAAAAATTGGATTTTTAGGGCTGCGGATTACTTGGTTCCGCATCCTGTGCCGTCTTCGGCCCGCGCCCCGCCGGCACTGACCTCGATGGGGAGGTGGCGAGGGCGGCGGCGGGGACCACCAGGATCCGACGGCAGGAGGGGCAGGATGAGTGGGACCCAAGCCAGGTGTCAACGCAGACGACGTGGAAGCCGTGGCCGCACTGCGGCAGGACCCGGACCTGGTCCCCGTCAGCGAACTCGGCGAGGCAGATGGGGCAATCGGAGAGCTTCCCGCTGCCACCCGGAGCGGCGGAGGAGTCGAAGGAGAGCGTCGGGAGGGAGCGGAGGGCCTTCTTCTTGAGACCCTTACCGGTCGGTCGAAAGACGGAGGAGGCGGCGGCGGCGGGAGAGGGGCGGAGCCAGGCGCAGCGAGCGACGAGGGCGAGGCCGAGGACGCAGATGAGGGCGCAGAGGAGCGCCGCGAGGATGACGATGAGGTCGGTGTCGACAGGGAGGGGGTCGGGCTGCCCCGCGGCGTGGAGGTTGTCGGAGGACTGTAGAAACCTCGACAGAGAAGGCAACATCATCCCGGAGTGAGTCGCGAGCGAAGGAGCGGGGAGCTTCGAGGAATGTGTAGAGCGGGCACTCGTTTATATATACTGAAGAAGGGCGATTTGTCGGAAAAGTCCCCAAGATTTGACCTTTTCCGAAATTACATCCCTTATTCTTATATTTCAACTTCAATTTCTTAAAATAATATAATTATCCTCAGAGACAGGTGGCAGTCTAAAATATATTATTATTTAATAATAATAATAATAATATTATTATTATTATTATTATTATTATTTAAGTTAGACCGAACAAAATAGTATTAAGCCGAAATAATTAAAAATATTATAATTGTTGTAGGTTAAAATGTCACCAATTTTAGTTATCAATCTTATTGTATATTTTCATATTTCAAAAAATAATCTATTTGAGAGTTTTGGATAAAGATTGGGAGTATTTTGATATACTTTAAATAATTAAAAAATAAACACTTAAATTTGATTTAGGTCCATATATTTCAATATAAAAGATAACGAATTTATAAAGGTTTTAACATATTTCATAGTAAAAGATGATATTCCATAACATATTTTCCTCATAGTCCTAAATTTTAGTCATCATAATAAAAAACATTATAGCTCCCGTCAAGAATATTACAACTGATTGGATAGTTCAGTTAAATATCCTATTCAAGATAAATTGGATTTCGATATAAAACTTTATTTATTTCGAACAAAAATAACATTTTATTCTTTTAGTAGAAATAAAATTTTTTTAGAATATCAGCTAACTTAGTTTGTGAGGATCTTAATAGTTTATCGTAAGGTCTCAAAATTAAATATGGTTTCTGTCACTTATTTTTTATAAAAAATAAAATTATATTTAATAAATATAAAAATAATAAATTCATAACATGGGATAAATAAAAAAATTTGAGGCTTTTATCGGGAAATCAAAATATTAGCGGTTAGGCAAAACGATGTTAACGCCCATAGAGAATATAATTGAAATGACCAAGAAGTTGAATTTGTGTTATAATTGGATCAAAATAATATTATGTGACATTACAATATTTATGATGATAGGTATGATAGATTGTCTATACTATAAATATCGAAATCCAAATGCTCATTAACATTATAAATTTCATAAAACTCTCTATATTATTATTATTTTTTTGATAAATTGGATAGGTTCACTCCAATACTTTCATGATAAGAAGATATTTAAAATTAAAAATAACAGTAAAGCAAGAATGAAGTATTGAAGATATCAAGTAGCTTAGTCGATAAATACCGATTATCGCTATCAAGATTTTGGGATCAAATCTCATTTTCATCATCACCACTCACACACACACTGTAAGAAGAAAAATAAAAATAAAAATAAAATATCAATATGATAGGAATTTAGACCTATATGATTCCCCCAAATTAAGAACTCAACACAATCAAGTTTAAGACATAGCTTGTAGCACATGTTTGGATAAAAGATCTAATCTTCATTGTGACATGTACTTTACAAGATTGAAGATAATAATTTTTTTAATTCTTTTAATTTCAATTATAGAATGCTATTCTCATTATCATTATCACATTGATATGTTGTGATAATAAAGACAAAAAAAAAAAAAGAGTTGGGAGTAGGAGCAACTTCCACGCTATTGCCATGCCATCTCCATTAAACTGCCACTATGAGCTTTGCAGCATCAACTAGTGGCCATTGTGGGGAGTGCACAATAGTGATCGATGATGTCGACCAACATGAATGATTGCATGCATACTTTGTGCGTAGAAACTTCAAGTGACCTCTTTGATCCATCAATAACTTATTCCAAAGCGTCGAGGAGATACCATCCCATACCAACTTAGAACAATATGCTCTTTCCACGAAGAAGACTTCGGATCAGCTTCTCTTAGCTCGTCTCCATCTAATTTCATTCACATACTCTACTATGATTTCTTAGATAACCATAGCCTATAAATTCATGATCATGTGCTGAGAGTAATTTAGTTGTTTCTTGCCGTATTTCTTTCTCATATTAACTTCAATTGATTGAAATTAGTCTAGACATTTCAATGCTTAATATATTATAGTATAAGTGATATGTTTCATATCCGAATTCTCGTCTTTTATATCATTTAATATAATAAAAAATTAATTAAAATTATATTATTATAATAGTAAATAAAGATCTCAAGTATCAGTAGTCTCAGTAGCACTAGAATGACATAAGATAATAATATGATTAGTTACAGTATTTAAACTCATGATTTGATGACAACCTAAAAGTTTAATTGGGTGATCTCAAGCATCAACCATGGAAGATTCCGCCGCCACATCTAAATGGGTTGACCATTGAATCGAAGTCGCCCAATCGAAATCCAAATCTTCTCATGCTAATTTAGTTTCTTAATTAATGTGCTAAAGTGGGATGATGTTTTATGCACCAAACTTTTCCTCATATGATGGATGACTCTAAAGGAAGCAATCAACACCACCACATGGTTTATCTTTTAGATTAGTTGGATAATAATAGTTGTTTTTCTTAAGAGCATAAATTAATAGAATATTTTAAGGATTATCTAAGAGAATATTCTCACATTGCTAAGAAAGGAAAGAAAGAGTTTGGTTAAATAGGGTAAGAATTGGGTTGAGTTAGTGTTCGATATGGTATATACTTTGACTCATCATTATTTGATTTTTAATAATATATGTGTTCTCTTAATTTTTCCTTGCTTTTCAAAGGTATATGAATTAATAATGATCCCTTAACTACATGGATTATAATTAATGGTGCAAGAAAAAGCATTTTAAGGGCATAGTAATTCAACTGATAGTGAAAGATATAGCGTGGTTTATACAAAGAGATCAAGTTTGGCTCGTTGTTAAGGCATTTGAGCTCAATCCAACTAACCCTAACCCATCATTATTTGTCTTCTCAATATAGCATATATTTTTACCCCTCCAAATACTAAATCTTTTTTCTTTTATATTCCTTCTATTAATATTGACGTAAAAAACTCAATTTTTTTTACTAAATATATAATATTTAAATAATAGTTTTAGTTGTAATATATGAATTAAAAAATCGATAATATTATCATAATCATAATAAATTGTTAAAAATATCAATAGTCAATTTATAGGTGATAAAAATCAGCATTGGAGTGACTTATGTGTGTGTGTGTATATATAGAAATAAATACAAAATTAACTTATTATATTGGAGATATATATATATATATATATATATATATATATATATATATATATATATATATATATATATATGCATACTTTCTTTACCTTTCTACATTTAAACACAATTAAAGTTTCTTTCCTCTCAACAAAACAGGAAAACGCCTTAATCTTTCTCTTCTTTATTATGGCTTTCCCAATTATCTTGTTACACATGAACATAAGAATCTTAATAAACCAGTCTATGCCTTTTAATGTGAAAGTAAAATTAATGCTCCATCTTATTCCTTTCGATTCCCTTAAATCTTTTCCATTTCATCTAATTTATATATTATGCGAATTCTACTTTCATTTGCATGAAAAGAAGGATCTTCTTGTGGGTTTCTTTCTTACATTTTCTCCCTGACTTTCATCTCAAAGATACATTTTAATCTTTTAATAACAATAAAAGATGGCATTCTACCTAAAAACTCTAGAATATTATTCTATAGATTTAAGGTACATGTAAGATTTAGATTGAATACAATCAATTTGTTGTGTACATAACATTTGTCTACGCATGGGTGCTCGGCACTTTGCATTTCATGTGATGATACTAGCTAAATCTTCTTAGTCTCCACACTCCTCTATCCTTTTTTATCTTAGACATTGTTAAAGCATATTGGATCTTTTCTTAATAGCTTAAATTTTCTTGGATTTGTAATAACTCAACCATATGTTTTTTGTTGGTATCATGAGTTCGAATCGTTCTTCTTCATCTACATTTGCATTATACACTCGGGTTTTCTTCGTATGTTATGTCGAGTCTAGTCGACTTGTTCTGAATATTGGATGATTAATAAGGGATTGAGCGCATGATTGTTGTTCTTATAATTTTTTTTAATTCTTTCTTAAAAGGTAAATGGTAACCACTTGAAATGGTTACCATTTCAATCTGTAGTTGTATCATAGCATGAGAGGTTAACCACTTGAAATGGTTTAGATCCTTATAATTTTTTTATTCTTTTTATAAAAAATAAATCATGAAGACGGGATTCGATCTCAAGAATTTGTTAATGATAGTCAAAAATAATAATGTTAACTAGTTGACATTCTCAAAATCAAGATTTCAAACTCTCTACTTTTGATAAGTAGATTATTGATATCAATAATCTTTAGTAAAAGTAGAGAGAATAATTGGCTTTCCCATGATTTTTGGTGTGTATGTGTGTGTGGATATGCCAAGTAGTGAGATCATAAGATCATAATCCTTTCCCATGATTGATTTGATGTCTTTCAATAGATGTTTACTTCCTCGACCTTCGGAACCTCTTTTCAGAGTGCCTCATTCGGCATGCAGCTTTCTTCTCCCTAACACACTATCATTTGGCTTTCAATTGGAATTTGAAGACCTCGAGAGGGCATGTAGCTCGGTGACAGACGACATGCTTCAGACCAACCAAGCCAACAGCATCAAGACAACACTCGAGACAAAACTCCTCTCATCCTGCATGCTTTTTTGGGGCCATGTACGTAACCACGAATCCTCTCACCTGCACTACATGTTCGTGCCACGAGGGTCGTGTTGGTCTCATGAGGACCGTCTTCGTGGATCTATGACTTGTTTAGTTTCTGCTCTAAACATCATTGTTCTCGGTTGCTTATCATCATCCGAATCACAGTGTTCTAACTTCATAAATGGAACCATAAAATGTTGGAAATGTGTTGTAATGTGTTAAGTCTTCTTGCCGATCTCTCAGGTGGAGTCACCTCCGATTTGGCGACCTGACGTTCAAGAGATGACAGGGGAAGAAGGAGGATTTCCGGAAGAGAAATTAAGTACTCCCATGAGCCTCCTTGCAATGAAGACCAATCTATCATATATATATACATATACATATATACACATACGGATAATGATTGTGTGTACCTAATAATCTTATATATGTCACAGCAGTACAAATACCACTGCCTATAACCCCTTACAGAAACGACCTTATCATCACCACAGTAAAGAATATGGAATATGCGAAAATGCCACCAAGAGAGCTTAGACTACAGGTAGAACGCGATGTGGTCGGGTCGACGGTGAAGTCGTCAGTGTAGTCTATCTTGTGGGGCTCGACTGATGGTCAACGTGTGGTTGCCTGTGGGAGAAGCTCAGAAGCAACAGTAGTTAGAACGAGACGTGATGGGAAGTATCAATTTCAAGACATTCTATTTCACCTAATTTGGATCATATTAATTACTTCTCTCTCTCGCTATATATGTGTGTGAGTGTGTGTGAGTGTGTTTGGCTTACAGAAACACGTAAGATGGGTACATGTGTGCGCATGTGTAGAGAGATAGAGAGATGGAGATTGGGGAGGGATATACGAGGAAACAAGGTTAAAGTGTGGAGATCTAAGGATATGTGCTGCATGCTAACATGATATTCTCATATTAGAAGAATTAGAGGTGTACCCCATGCACATAAATAAAGAGTTTTTATTAGCTTCATGGAAGGAAGGCAGACTTCTCGGTTACAAGTGAAAAATCCGAGGCGAATAGAGAAACTTTGAGGTACTCAAAGAAGGAAGAAGATAGTCTATGACATAGTCTTCTAGCTTCAAGTCGGGACTAGAACGATCACAATTTGCCAACAGAGATGCAGAATTTGGATCCTATTTCTCTGATTCAAGGGTGACAGCAAGCACAGTAAGAACAACCGATAGCTTCTACCCATAAGATCTTTGTCCTCACTGCGACCACTCAATGCAGACTCCCATAAGATCCAGAGAGGTGCTGTTCTCTTTGTGTCATTCCTCCCCCCATGCTCCTCATCATGCCTCCAACCCCGAGAAAGTCTCTGGTCAAACTGTCTGGTGCTCCCATGCCACTGCCCGATTGGTTCTGCTGCAACTCGCTCTCGTTTGTGCTGCTGCACATATGGTTTCCATTAGCGAGGGAGTTCATGACGTCTTGCAGTTGAGCTGCTGCTGAGCTCCCTTCGGCACCATCAAAACCAGCACCAAAACTTGTGTATTTGCCGCTAGAATACGAGCTTCCCAGACCTTTGAGTAAGGAGCTTCCGCTGCCGCGATTAGGAGTCACACCCATTTGCGCCGCCTTCTGAAGAAGAGCAGTTGCCGACATATGAGGTGGTGCTGAGTCACTTTTCACCGATTGGTCGTACGTGGAAGAAGACATGTTCGGATGAACGTGGTTGCTCAAGAGATTTCCTGCAAACAGTGTGGGCGGCTCGTTGCTCCCACCAGCAGTGCTGTTTAATCTATCAGAGATCAGCGGGTGAGCATTTGGTTTAATGGCGATGCTCCTGTTGCTGCTATCAGATAAGATGCCAAGATTGAAGAGATCAGTAGCAGTAGCGGCGGATGAATGGAGTTGTTGGAGCTGCATTAAGCCATTGAATGGTTTGCTCTGGAGCAGTAGAGGGTCATCGCCCAAGTCTCGGCTCGAGCCACCACCAAGGTAGAACGGAGCAGACCGAGATGGGTGAATCGGCTGCAAGGCCGGCACCGTGAGATGGTTGAACCGTGTTGCACCACCGTTCCCAGCAAGCCGGAGAGGGTCGGGCGGTACAACATGAGCTCGGTCCTCTAAGGAGAGTTGCGCGTTCAGCTGAGGAAGGCCCAGATTTGTTCCGGCGTTGCCGTATAAGTAGCTTCCGATGGTGTTCATGGCGGTCGGAATCCTCCCACCCTCTTGTGCTAATGCGTCGCAGAAAGCTCTGTGGGTTATGAAGCTATCACGCCTGCATTAATTACAGTCAGAACAACGCTACGTGAATCAAATCCGTCTTAACTCTGTTGCTGCAAGCAAATGCTAAGGAAGCAGAAAGTAATGGAAAGTAATTGGCTACTGCATGCGGTCAAATGGACGCCTCCTCCTTCACATCGACTCGTTCCAGCCGAAAGGAGTTAAAGAGTACGCTTCACATACATACCAAGTGATGTCGCAGCTGCGGACAAGCATAATTTGCTCACAGCCAAGGGTGTTTCTCATGAAATGGTGGACCAGAAGAGCACGGCCATGCCCAGCTGCCCACATATCTCCAACTCGCAAGACAACAAAGCTGGCCTGCTAAGCCTTGCCTCCATGTCTCCACGTGAGTAGGAGAGAGAAACGAGCCCAGCGTTGGATACAAGGAGAAAGGTGGGTGAGTCCCATTACAGTTCAGTTCCATAGGGACGACAGTTCACGTGGGAGCAGTATCGGTTTCCTTGCACCGGGGAATCCATCCATCCATCCCTAACAACCCTAACCCTAACCTTTTAAACTCTATCTCCGTTTGAAGAAACCCTAATCACTGAAACCAAGAACAGTGTGTGCAGCAGGTCCGTTGTGTAAGGAGTGCAGCTTGTGGTGATCCAAGCATGGATTAGATCGTGATGGATAGGATGCATCGAGGGATGGTAGTACCTGGAAAAGAGGGTTCCACAGTCACATCGGTACTCGCGAGTGCCGCAGATCTTGGAATGGGCTTTCAGATCGGAGGGGACGGCGTAGCGCTTGGAGCACTTGTCGCACTTCCACTTCTTCTCGCCGTGCTTGCGACTGTAGTGCTTCTTGATGCCGGTGAGGTCGCCGAGGGCGCGGGAGGGGTCGTGGTGGACGCAGGTGGTCTCCGGGCAGATGTAGACCTTGCGGCACACCTCCTTGGGGTTCTTCTGCTTCAGCTTCCATGGCAGGTTGTGGCCGCGCCGGTGGAGCTGCAGATTCTGCTCCCGCTGGAATCCCTTGTTGCACACTTCGCAGATGAATCGATTCGTTGCCAGAAGCGACTTGGGTGACAAAGCAATCACTACGGCCTCGGCATCTGTGGATTCAACGAATCATGAAGCCCACAATCAAATCTTCTACATGGCATGCTATGATGATGTCAGTGGGAAGATTGGGGTGTGTATGAACAGAGAACCGAGAGAGAGAGAGAGAGAGAGAGAGATCAAGGGATGTTTGGAAGCGGGGATACTTGCTTGAAGAATTTCCAGGAAGGTTCCTCTTTTTCTTCCGAGGAGCGGCCGATGAACTCGGTGGTGATGATGACTGCTGCGGCTGTTGCTGCTGATTGGTGGTGTACTGATCTACCTCTCTGGTTCCGAATAAAGGACCTGAGAATGAAGCTGCTTCCATCTCCCGAATCAAAGCAGCAACACAGCACCGTTCTCTATGGTGTTCTTTTTCTGGTTTTGGTTTCTGTAAGGATCACTGATGAGTCCAAATCAGAGTACCCAACATGCAACCATGATCTCTCCTTCGGTAACTATCTGCTTGAATTTTCTTCAAACCCCCCGCCCTCTTTTAGATCTGCAATACAAGAGAAGATTCAAAGAGAGGGATGAAGAAAGAAAGCAAGAATCAAAACGGCCACAGAAAGCCCTAAGCAAAAACCTCCAAGCTCTTTAACTCTTCATACCTCGATTGTAGAACACGGAAAGCTGGCAATCCAAACAGGCAGTTTCAGTGAAAGCCAAATATAAAGAGACAGAAAGGAAGGGATGAGAGAATAAAGAGGGGGAAGTAAAGGAGAGCACAGGCAAAATTAAAAGAGGACCTGTTTCTTCCCTTCTCTTTGTTCTTCTGCTGCTGCTACTTGCTGGTGGAGGAGGGAGAGAACAAAGAGTTGTGTGTGTAATTATTCTTTAGGGTTCCTTCTCCATTCTCTTTCTCCTCTCTTCTTCTTCTCCTATATATGGATGGGTCTCATTTTTATATTCCACCTCTGTTATTCCTCGCTCAGTTGGACACCGAAAACGAACAATACAGTAAAGGTTTTGTTGAAGCAGTCTCACACAGGCAAAAAAGTGTCGCTATGTGGCAAGGGGCCCACAACACCTGCAGTCCTCACCGTCTCCCACATCCTCCTATCGCTTGATGTGGATATTCCCGTAAACGTGAGGACAAAAGCCAGCCTCTCTATGCAACCATCTCAATCCATGGCGGTAAAAGACGAGTAACGAGTAACGCACTGCACTTATCTTACTCCGAGGCAAAACGAGAATTGAATGAGATACACATTTGTATGCATATCCTCCTTTAATTATTATTACCTTCTATCTGATTTCAAACTATAACTAATTCAGCTATCTATTATCTCTTTTAATCATCTAATGCACAGTGGATAGATACCGTCATTTTATGTAATAAAATAATTTTAATTCAGCTATTTAGTTCAACATGTACAAGTTTGCATGCAAATCAACGCAAGTAATGGAACTTGATACACACGTGTACACGTACTCCATACACAGCCTTCCATCAATGCTCAATTCAAATCATTATCACCAGGTCACAGAGGAGTAACATTAAAAGAGCGCGAGGTAAAACCTGCAACATGTTCTTGGGGCCAATGGTCCTCTTAACAAATCCAAACTTCACAATGCTTGTTACAGCAACACACATGAACGTATACTTTTTCCAAATGGTTCTTCGATAAAACATAACGGTAACGGTATCGAAAACCGAGTGCAACGTTGAGAACAGTTGTATAATCAAAAGTCGATGCATGACTAAACAAAATGGGTCCCTACTGTAGATACCGAGTCGAGCAAATCCAAGTTTATTTCATCACACTTATCATTTCCATCGTAATTTAGATAACTTGGTAAGTGTCTGTGATCAACTGAATCCTCTGCGAGTACTTTGGAGCAGCATTGCTTCTGAGTGGCATGAGATTTACAACCTGTGGCAAATTTGCAAAGCTTGTGAGTAAAACTGTTAAAAGAGGTGTGCTATAGCCATCTCGTAAAACAAATCGCAAATAGATTTCTTATAATCAATTCCCAAAACAGGATAAAAGTGGATACACACAAATACACCACTATAATTAAAACTTAAAAAAGGAAGATATTGCAGTTCAATCTGCCATATTGATAAAAAATATTATTCTATTATTCTTCAACAAGGTGTCCGGATTGTGTTATGTATTTACCAGATTATCTTAATAAATCGAAACTATATACATAATAATCAACATGCAAAAGGGAAATAATCAAAGAGCAATTGATTACAACATAACAAATGTATCGAAAAGTGTGAATTTCTAGGCCTACAAGACAAGAAAAAATACACTAAAAGGAATAAAAACTGTCTCATACATGACAAATTTCACGAATGTTGTGACAGGTAAATGGATGTGGTTGAAGATGTATCATATTGGAATAAAATAAAACTAATTAAACACAATTCAAATTTTAAGTGCCTAGTGAGTAACAATAGGGAGAAAATAAGCTCTCAAAGGTATCTGCAAAATCAAACTCTTTTGTAGATGAATAGATTTTTGTTATTACAAAAATCAATTTATGATTGGCCTCAGTCACAATAAACATATTGAGGCAGACACATATATCATGAAGAGTAACAGAACTGAAATAAGAATCCAATGTCTCAAACAAGAAAAGGTCTAAGTTGTAATCTTCGGGAAACTAGCCAAGGTATATAAAGAAAATTGCCTCAGATTTTATGTTTTAATGTCCACTTCAAAGGATGCTGCAACGATTGTCAACATTTATATCTGAAATTGTTCTTATCTCAAAGTGCAATCAAGAATAGGGAGGTCAATGATACATGGCCCGTTTGGCATGAACAAAGAAAGCAAAAGACATTTCCTATAGCCCGTTTGGTAGGAAAAATACTCTTCTTTTCATGTTGCTGGCTCATTTAATCCAAGCATGATATACTGTGCGAGCACATTCAAGGCATGCAAATGAAAACTTAATTCTTGCCTTCACCACCATGTTTGAACACTCCAATTTAATGGGCGAGTATAGTAAGCTAACAGATATTCATTGGATTCAATAGATATTTATACATAAATGGCACATCTACAGATTTGGCTCATATTCTTCAAGATGTGTAAAATTTTAATATTAACCAGTTAATTTTTCCTAAAAGGGGAATAATTCACCCAATGACGAGGTTAAAATTGCGATAGAACCTACAAAGGGCAACTTAAAAGACTTGCAACCATTGATCACTCACCTTAACATCACTATATGTGCTTGCAGCAGTAAATCTGATGGTAATAGGGAAGAATACTGATGAATCAGCTGGAGGCACAACAAACTCCATTGATCCACTGACAACAGATAAAATTAGAGAGGAAGTGATTAACACTAACAGATGTAGGATTTTCTAATATCAAGCGGATTTACATGCATGTACATATTTATCATACCTGCGGTTGGAATGGTCAATAAGAAGAATAGACCAGTCTAATGTGGAATTTCTTGAGTCATACCTGAAGATGATTAACAAATCAATTAAACAACACCAAGAATGAAAAGTATCTCAAAAGTAGCAATTCAAAGTCAACAGCAAGAGGAAAAACACAATTCTAAGATCAAGCAAGCTTTCCTTGGTGTTAACACTCGTTGCAAACAGATAGCTTCATCTTACTCTCACTGAATTCTTCAAGAAATCTCTAAAAAATTGCAAAACCTCTAGATTTACTCTACTTGCTCAACTTTTAGCCAATATACATTTGACTTATTTCCTACTCTATTCACCCTACTCAAATTTTGTTACTTCTTCATTGCTACGCCAGGTCTCCAATTGTCTTCATGGATATCAGCATTATGGCCATTGAAAAGGCAACAAATTCACAGGTCATTTGAATCCTTAGAGCAAGTATATGTACTCCTGTTGTTTATCTCCATTTTTGTAACAGCATTACTTCAGCCTCTTATGTAAGTGCAACAAAACAACTATTACTACAAATATTTGATTCTTAACCTCCCTATATGAGAGTCCTTTGAAGTAAAATCCTCAAAGTCCAAGACATTTCCTCTCAAAAACAAAGAAATTATGTATTACTAGTTAGGCTTTTATTATTAAGTTTATTTCACATTTGAATCAACTTCAATTACAAATTATTCTTAACAGATTCTTCCAAAATATTTCCCTAACTTATGCCCTAAAACGCTCTATGACAAGTGAAGTGTTGCTGATTCTAAGGCTTAAAATTCAAGTATCTATAACTCTTTTTTGTAACTCTAAATAGTTAAAGATAATTGTTCAAAAAATTTCTGTACATGACTTTTTTTTTTTACTTAGACCTAATCGAAAACATATTCGGTATACTTTTGTTAGTATATGTTGACAAAGAAATATTAAAAATATCAAGTAGGTATTATGATGAACTATACTAAGTACTCACAAAATCATTCTAAGGTTCTTAAGCTTATTACCAAATTTTGGTCCAGTTTACAGAATCCAAAACCATTGCGAGAAGCATATCATCTATAGTTACAGGTTGAAGCCTAGTTGGTCTCAAATGATAAGGTCAGAACTTTAAAGTCTGAACAGTTAGACCTATTGAAATTGAACAGTATGGCTCCTACCACTTGACCTGTTATGAGTGTGTGCTGTTGTATATTTTCAATTGAAATCAAAATGTCAATTGGCACAAGATTGTTCCATAATGGCCAAAAGGAAATACTTGTTTTTGGTTGCCATATACAGCCATACTATTTTCTTTTATCAATACTGTGCTGTAAACCTTCAGGAAAGGCATATATATTGTTTCCATGCATTCCGTGCACCTTTACAAATGCCATGTGTGTTGTTTCTCCATGAGCTCAACCATGTATTTGACATATCACGTCGCCACATTACAAAGGCCAAGGTGTTTTTCTTTAGCAATTTGTTGGTCAGATTTGACTGTACCATTTTTATCCACTACTTATGTAAAAAAATCTTTATACTTCCATTACAAATTTGAGAAGTCACCAGCAAATTTGGAAGCTTTCTTGAGAGAATTGTGTTTATGATGAAAAAAGACATTCTTACAGCTGCACAACAAAAGAATCTATTTCTTGAATTGAGTGATTCCAGAGTGCAGCAAAATTTGTAGAACTTTCAAAATTCCTTCTATGAAGTCATTTAAAGAATGAGCTTGATTCCCACTTTAGCCCAGCGATACATGTTTGCTTTCACATGTCCTATTAATTTCCTTAACATGCCATTGAAGTCAAAAGATCTCAAAAGATACACACAATTTTTAGTTCTGCATTCCTGTGTCAGAGACCAAAATATATGAATACAGTGTGGAATACAATTTCTGCTGGAATGCCTTATTTGCTATTTTTCTGTTTGATCTATTTCAAAGTAAGGCATTAGAAAAACTCTTCAACAGTCTCAGCCATTCTTAAATCAAGAAACTGTAAGACGAGTCAAAGCAATGCTAGAAGCTTAGATATATTTACCGATTTGACATCAGATTTAACTATTGGTTCTACTGAATATGGAAAACAGAATCAGGATTAACTGTGTACTGCAAAGAATAAAATCCTTGACAAATTTCTGAATGAACACTATTCAAAGTTTTACATAAACAAGATCCACCTAAAAGAAAAAAGGAAAAGAAACTCAAATACTTACTTCCATTCTCCATCTATCTGCCTCACACTTGGTGGCTCCCTAAGTGCAGGGAGAGGTATGGAGATAACAACATTTTGTAAGTCAAACAACTCAGATGCTTCATACTCTATGTTAACATAAGTTTCACCGCCAGACACAGAGGGCCAGCAGTTTACTGCAGATTAATGAGGAATAATTAGATTCTCCACTTTGCCGACAAATATTTGAGTTAGAAAATAGTACCCACCAGTTAAAGGCAAAGCAGCTTCATCCATTCCTTGAATTCTCCACTTCATAAGGCCAACATCATTTTGACCAGTAGGAAATGGCCTGTTGGAATCTTTCAAGCCTATAATGTGCTTGCTGTTGAATAACTCTTTATTGATGTTAGGATGGGTTTTGAAGCTAAGGCCAGGAACATCTTGGTTTTCAATCTGTAAACAAGATACAGCACACAATTGAGTAGACTTTTGTCTAAGATTTCTTAGGAAAAGGGAAATATATTTACTTGAATTTCATGCATAAAGCTACCAGGACATCATCAATAGAAGTTTTCTTACATGCATGAAGTACCATAGAAATGCAGAAAACTCTTTCTGCAAGTTTTCTCCTACACTAGCAGCATATATGTCATAACAACAAATTTAACTCTATCCACCTACTTCTTATCATCTCTTGGCAAACTCAATGTGTGGGTCACGAAACTAAGAAAATTTAAACTGAGATCACATGATTGGTCCACCAAAAATGTGCAATTATTCTAAAGAAAAACACCACAGTAGTAGCATGACTGAAGTTTTTTCCTGAATATTCACCAGGCAGAGCAATATCACATGTAATCCACATAGACTATTTTAAAGCACAATAAAAGTGTGACAGTTGCAGCATAGGCAATATGATTATTGTGTAAGGATATGAATGAGGAAGAGAACCTGCAACTGGACAAATCCATCTTCCTGATTAAGAATTTGGAGAGAAAGTGTTCCTTGAATATCGAAGTTATTAAGACCACCATCTCTCCTGATTACAACATTTAATCTCTCTTCAATGGTTAATGTGACTGGATCAGTTGGCGGAAGAGATGACTTCGACAGAGCAGCAGTGGGCTGCACATCCTCAAGAATTACTTCCCCTTCAGCCTTTAGCGATTCCAAAAACTGGTTTGTCCTTTGTGTTTTGCCTAGCTTCATACCAAGTCCTTTAGGGGGGGCATTAGCCGATGCAGGTGGGCGACCTGAAGCAGCAGAGTGTCCAGCAGACAAATGAATCATCAAAACACTCCATCCGCATACTAACACAAGTTAGCTAACAACAGTAAAAGTATCATTTAACCAATAACCAACTTGACTTTTTAAAACTGGCCACAAGATCTAAAGAAATAAAAGCTAGTAAAAGTCCTTCCAACTTATATTAAAATGGAAATTAGGGACTTCAGTAATCCAATATAGGCTCTTCTACTGGTGATAACTCACGTTTTTATATTGCAATAAACTTTTGCATGCAGAATATAATATTCAATGATGAATGCATAATTGCAATTCAAGTACAGGTTGAGGTTGTCTTAGAGATGATGAAACATTTATTTCACAGTGAATTATATTAGAGAGAAGCAAGAGAACAAACAAGAGATACTGTGAAGGAAATATGAAAGATGAGTTGAGGTGAAAAAACAGTACTACAACATTCCACTAAGAATAGAAGAAACAAAACATAAGTAATACACTAAATCTAAATTATGACTAAAATAAGTTGTCCTATCATTCAAAATATAAATGAAGATAGTTGTAAACCAAGATAAAGACACTAATTTGAGAAGCATGCTATTGGTGCATACCTTTGGGCTTGCTAGAGAAGGATTCAACATCAGCACCCAATCCAAATCCAGAACCACTGCCAAAGCCACTTCCAGAACTCGAAATACTCATATCACTAAAGCTACTCTCAATTCTTCGAGGGCCAGATAAAGACATAAACCCTCCTTTATCGCCTCTGTTCTTTTCAATCTGTCAAAACAAAGTACAGATATGAGACGTGGTGATCATAACAACTGCAATTTAATATTAGTCAAACTAAGTTACAAATATACAGAAATGAAGAATTTTTAATCAAGAAAAATCATCTTTGCAAGTTTTCTTGCAACACTTAACATCAGCAGAAGCTGATACTTTATCCAAGGTTAGAAAACTTCTAAAAAACCATAAGCAGAACTTTTAAGAACATTAGAATTAGCACACACACTATGAACAGTGCCCAGTCATGTACATGCTACAAATAATATTGTATACAACTAATGCATGTGCTATATGGCACAAGAGGCATGACATGACAGGGTCATTGCTTGACATGTGGAACAAAGTTCAACAAATTGCATATAGATAAGCTAAGAATAGATATAATCCACTTGCTGACATTGAAAACATTGACTATGATCATAATTTGTATATATACTTGGAATAGATATCTTCCAAGTATAAACAACCCTCAATTTGCATATAGACCCGGAATCTGACATTATTTAAATAATTATACTAGATTGTGAAGCCTAGTCTCCAGCATTAATTCATATAAGGGTTGGATAATATATTAAAGAACCTACCAATTATGACAATCTTTTTCAGATAAAAACAAATTGTAGTTGCAATGATGTTCATATGTATAATTAATTGTGCACAGAAGATACAAGGTGCAATTTTGAACCATTCTGATCTCAAAATAGAATATTACTTAGCGTAACTCAAACTGATACCATAGAACCATTGAAATATGATAATCAAATGAGAAGAGCTGTTGTATAAACATGATCATTTTTCCATCATCAAATGTAAAAAAAGACAATTCCACTGTATGCACAGACAGCAGAGGTTCTCTTTCACATATATTTTCATCATGCATATGAAAGAAGTTAACTAATTAATAAAAAGGCAGCAAATGTTCATACATACCTTGCTTTTGTCTATCTCACTAGCTTTCCGCTTCATGACATCCTTAGTCTCATTAATTTTACTTTGCATGACCAACTTGTGCAATCTTTCCTCATGGCTCTCCATCTCACAGTACTGTTTAACTTGAGCAACAGTCAAATTTTCTTTGTTCCCTAGTGAGATGGCTTCATCAAAAGCAAAAATCAATTCAAAAGCCATCTTACATATGCCCTCTTCATCTAAAGAGGGTGAATATTCAGGCACCTATATACCATTTAAGGAAACAAATTTGTCCAGCTTTTAATTATAAAAAAATTTCCAAAAACCATGAACATGAACAGAAAAGATAATTTAGTTAACTCTCCAAGCAACTAATGTAGCAATATTTGCATTAACATAAGGCTAGGCAGTGTAATTATGACCAAATAGAGGGAAAGAACAACCAACACATGTTCAGTACATGAAATCATAAAAGATGTAATTCCGTGATAGCATAGAAGATTCACTCTGCTAAGTGAAAAGCAATCATCTAGCGTAATAGCAAAACTGGTATAAATTCACAATCTGATGTAAAAAGGATACAAGTTTGGACAGGAGTCTCAGTGTGTCCAGATCTTCAAGAATATTACTCTGTTTGTTTGTAACAAGCAGCAGATAAAGTGCTTCTATTGGTTGGTACACATAGCGAACATTCTCAGTCTCAACATATGTATGCTGCTTTCCAGTTCCCACCAACTTTGGAAATGCAGCAAGCAATCCTTCTATCCTAATTCGAGACATGTCCACAAATTGCCTTGAAACTAACACTGCAACACAAGTCAAAATGAAAAAAATAATTGTTAAATAAGATTGCATATCACGATCCCTTCTCAGACACTACTACATTGGTGGATGTCTCACCCACTTGGCTGCTTTTTAGATAATATTACAACCATGAAATCAAGTTGCAGCAAGCAAGTTTGGATTTTAATGAAACCTGAGATTTATGTAAAATATCTAAGCAAACTTTCTACTTCATAATTATCAAAACACTAAGTTTGCAAAATTATGTTTAACATTGTTTCCAGTTACTTGAGCAGTATAAAAACCAAAAATGAGATAAACCAGAGATGCACCTGCAAGTGAAAAATGCAATGAAAGGGTGCTAATCAAACAGTTATTTAAGTACCCTAATTATACAAAATTATCAATTCCATATATATTCAAGCAAGTAAAATGTGAACTATTTATAACAAACATGAGTATATTGGAAGAAATCCATGCATCTGAAAACATGTGAAGTCTGTAACTAAGCAAAACTTATGAGACTAGGATCCCTTGTGATATATGTAAAACTGATACTTCAAAAAGTTCAAATAAACACTGGAGACCAATATATCTAAAACAACAAAAATAAATCGAACTATGCCTCAAAGAACTTCAGAAATATTTTTTTAAACAAATATTTATATTAAAATTTAGAAGAAAGGCAATCATTTGTTTCCACACAAGACCACTGAGTCCATAACCGGTTGGTCTGTCTGAATACTACAAATGTTGGCCACAAACCTCAATGGAAGAAGTCAAAGGTCGAAATTCATCTGACCATGGTTTAAAATACTACTCCGATATAATTTGATACCGCTAGGTATACCCTTTTTTTCCAATTTTTTCCAAGTTAACAGGCAGCTCAGTATCTCAGTGTCATGCAGGTCTAATAGTAAATCAAATCTGCCATTTGACCAGTATTTAAAACCTTTTCAACTAACAATGAATCATACGATGAGGTGCTATAGTTGAACAAGATAAAACATGCTAGGAATTACTACGTCAAATGTTTGAGCTTCTTAGGATTTTCAAAAATGATGGCAAGCAACCAAGACATGATTAAATCAAGGTAGAAAATGTAATTTGACAAAACATGAAGCTCTGAGTTTAGAAAATATTTCATTTCACAGCAAGAAAGTTCAGGAACATATTCATTGTCCAGAATCAAAATGTTGAAACTATATGAGTGGCTTGAAAAACAACTGCGAATATTTTAGAATTATGTATCCAAAGTCATGATCTGCAACATCAGATCTTATACTATCAATATAAATTCTTTCAGGAAGATAAGTTTAAACAAAGAATATATTCCTACGTTACTTGTGGTGGAGAATCTCTAATTGAGATCAGCTTATCATAGTTTGATGTAGAAGAATTGGAAAAAAGAAACAAATAATGGAATAGGAACTCACCTTTTCCAGACTTAGTTATGATAGAAGCTGCAAGAACAACCTGATCAGACATAAAAAAAAGGGTTTAGCAGGGGAGGATCTGCAAGATAATTTCAATTTGGCATAGGGTAAGATAAAATATTGAAGGTTGAATTAGCAACATATTATAAACTATAAAGACCATACACCTGAATTTAAACAAAACTACAAGTCCATGCATAAACATTTCCTATTCAGCAGTGGGAACGAACACCATATTGAACTATTTTAGCTCAATATTGCTGATACCCTCCCATCTACTGATATTCATTATCATTTTTGGCATTGTGCTACCAACAAATAAAACCAAAGAGTGAACAAAGAAAGATAGTAATAATGAGAGAAAGTGATGAAAGGGGGTGAGATTCTGATCTACACAAAAATAGAAAAAAATTAATTAATCCATTATTTCGTATTGAACTAGCACATGACAGTAATCATGCTATCAAGTATGTCACGTATGTAATTTCTCCAACTTATCTATCACATCCATGTAGATTCCATTTAATGACCATACGTGATAAGATACTCCTACATGCCCATGAAGAAAGAATTCACATGTACCCCTAAAACAAGCCTTACTTTTGGATTTACATATTGATGAATGAAAATATAGAGAATGTCCTCAGAGTCTCATGAAATATTGCATACCACTTTCAGGGTCATATATGAAAGTTTTCTTTTTTAAGATTTTTCGCATGAAGCACTGAAATGATGTCTATGATAATTTTCACTTTAAGATGGACATCATATTTACAGGGACAAATGATATTGCTCTATCATTGAAATGCAAGTACTTAAACAGTTCGATTACCAATTCTCGAGATATGATCAATATGAAAGAATTTGCTTTTAGTTAGTTAACGGCACACAATCTCATGATGGCTGTCTTTAGTAGCTCCACTAGGAACAATGAACATAGTTATATAATCAATTGCCTTCCAAACAGTATAAACAGTTAACCAGGAAATTTACAAACTTCCATGTAAAAAAAGGGATAATCCACTTTGATCACAGTAATTTTCTTTAATAAGGAAAATCTATATGACAAAGCAGCATGTACTTCAAATAAATACATGTCGAAATTCACATTGATACTGATGCCGAGCACTTCAGGCCACATAGATGAACTATCATTGTCTAGACCATGTTATTTGATATTGCAGCATCTATGGTAGGAAAACACAACACTTGATCATGTTAATGTAACAACTTTTAAACACATCCAAAATCAAATTCTCTAAATAGCACAAATTTACAGAACCAGTCATCCTCCTGCATTCCTAACCATCAGATGGCCCACAGAAACAAATAATTTAATGGAAGGAGATTAAACAAAGAGTAACTATGATCAACATCATCAAACATTGTCTGACATCAGAAAGCAAGATAGTGGAGGACAGACAAGATATCAACAAGGCTCAAGTAATTATGCTCCAAAGCCTATCATCATTATTTTAGATATTTATTTTATAAACCAGTATTTCAATAGCCAGTTCCTCTCAACCAGAAGATATATATCATTCCTGGATTGGTAAATAATTGAGAAAAAAAAATCAGTGGAGAATTTGACCGACTCAGGGTAGCTTGGTTGTAATTGAATCAATTTAGACAGTATAACAAATCAAAGATGATTTGAATCCAAACTTAATCAAGTCTAGTTAATTCAAAAGATCATTTTTGTTATTGAAGTAAGCAGCCCAAAAACTGGTTTGAAATGTTTTACCAGCTAATGGTTAAGATCAAGGTGCAAAAATCAATACATGCAATAAAATTATATTCCAGGTGTTGTTCAATACATGGCAGCACAACGAAGACAAAACAACACAGGCATTAACTTGCAACAATAGATCATAAGATGTAAAAAGAAAATTCCAGAGCAAGACTCAAGTACATACCATTTTGTACGACCCTGTATTCCAGCCAAACTACAACTAGTCCGATTACACTATCTGGCAAAATAAAGCAGTAACATGATGTTAAACCGTTATAAACCCAGAATGAAGCCTTGGAAAAACATGTACATCAGAAAAATGAGCAAGATCACATAGGAACATCTGAACTTTCAATTCCCATCCCATAAACCGTATGAGCAGGTAATAGAAACCCAACGGAAAAACAAACAGAAACAGCATATTTTCACTTCTTTACAAGCTGACAACAAGCCAATTTACTGATTTTACATATCGCAATCGAGAATGGTAGCAGATCTAACAAAGAAACGAAAGTTTGGATCTAGTCATGCTATTTCCCACATGAACTAATTACCAGTCTGCCAGATCTAACTGCGGCGGCCAGATCCACACACAAAAACGATACATTCAAGAGAAATACTCGAGATGGACGCAAAAAGAGGAATAGAGATCAAGAAACGAACGCGGAAGAGGAAGAAGTGACCTGGCCTTCAGATCTGAATCTAGGGTTCAAGCGGAGATCTATCGAAGGAGAGACTGCTAGAGGCGGAAAGAGGGGAATCGTACTCCGCGAGGACGAGAGAAAAACGGCACGGCAAACCGGATCTATAGGACAAGCGGTAAGCGGGTCGGATCTGACTATCATATCCGACCCACACTATGAAACAAATCCAATCTAATAATATGAAACAATGTACAGTCTCTTAACGTGAACATTCGATCCAATCCGGCCCAGCCCACCACTATAAATTGAACTTAGCTATAGACATGTAAAACCTCAAAACTTTTATGTGTGTGCATATATATACATATTTATTTATAATTATATATACGTATATATATATATATATATATAATAAATACATTGTTTGATTGATTGACATTTACGACATCAACTTAATTGGGCTATATATATAGGGTTTGGATTACTGCTTTTTTAAGAAAAAAGTTCATATTATATGAGCCATTTTAATCCACATATTATTTCATCACAAATGTTTTTGGATTTTTTTTTAATTTTCAAAATAGCGACAGTAACTTTCCAACAATTTTTATCTTTTTTCTTAAAAAACTATTATTTCTCTCTCCCCTTAAAAGTTGATTTCTTCTCTCCCCATCATTTTAATTAATTAACATATACAATTAATTTTTACCCATTTATTAGATCTTCATGAGAGATAATTAATTTGTCTATCTACGGATCCTCCTATTCTAATTTGTGTTACCCTTTCGCTTACCTGTCTCTAAAACTACAGGCTTCTTACCGTGCAATCTTTCTTAGTACCAATCAAAATATAGGTAATCCGGACGAGTAACCTTATTTAAGTAGAAAGGTTATTTACGTAATAAAATGTAATAAGAAGTTCCACCGCGGATGAACAGTATCTGAAAACACGGCGCCGTAATGGAGAACGGTGAAGCAAGCGGCGCCGGAAGAAACACGACACCGACGAAAGGAACGCTAACCCCAACCCGATTCCAACCCCTCTACCGCCCGCCGGGAATGCACCGCCATGCGGGGAGGTGACGTCGCCACCCCCTTCGCCGACTTCCGCCCGCAGGCCCTTCACCAGCCTTAGCCAGGTCGATGCTGACCTAGCTCTCGCCCGCGCACTCCAAGAACAGGCACCTGATCCTTCGACCTCTTCCTCCTGCTCCTCTATGTCGGAATCGTGTTGTGGGGGTCGGGAGTGAGGGTTTTGGGCGTTGTTTTGATGTTGCCGATTGGGTGCAGGAGAGGGCGTACGCAATGCTGAGGATGAACGGCGTCGATTGCAGCGATTACGAAATCTCCGACGCCGGTAGCTACGATTACGAGGAGGGCGTGGGAGACGAGCCGGACCATGTGATCGAGGACGACGCGGGGAACATCGATGGGAGCGATTACACGAGGACGCTTTCGATGCCGATGAACCTGATGTTGACGATGAGACATTCGCAATGGCGCTTCAGGATTCTGAGGAGCAGGAGGTGGCTGTTCGGTTGATGGCCGTCGCAGGTTTGAATGTGTGTGGGAGAATGCTGCTTTGAGTTCATTACTTTCTGTTGGCTTTCGGTTGATTGGATCTTGAACTGACTGTTACTTTGTTTCTTTTCAGGGGTATCAGATGATCATGATGACCATGGCGATAACTCTCAAGTGACATATCAAGTTTTCTTATCCCACTGTTTCATCACTCTCATAAAATTATTCACTTGATAGTGATTAGACTTTAGACCATATGCTGTCATTTGAATAGCAAACATGCCTTGTAGTTTTCCCCATTATTTTGTTTCTACCTCATCTTTTTTCTGATACTTAAGCAATCTTTGTTTTAGTTTCATTCTATTATCTCTCATTGTGTTGCAATGCTTTCTATGTATAGTTATATTTCTGTTAGATATTTTTCCTTTAAGTTGCTAATAAATTGCTAAATCTTAGATGTCTGGCTTCTTTATAAGAGAAACCGTAACCCCTTGAGTTGGTTTGTCATGAGAAATTGCGTTTAGTTACTTTGAACATTTGATTTGAATTTTGGTTGTCTTTGATTGCTTGGTTGTAAAATTTTAGACATTGGATCCTGCAATTTTGGTGTTTGAACATTGTGAACTGAAACAGCTGCTTCTGGTCATAATTCAAGCTGATCTAAAACTCAAGTGTTATGCCCATCACACTCAATTAGTAAAATCTTAATTGAATGATTGTAACTGGCCATTGATAAGAAAAAAATCAGTCATGGATAAGGATGTGACGCAAAGAAAAACATACCTGTGACATGCCTGTTTTTTATATAATTTCATGTGCTCAATATGTAAGGATGGATGGATCATATGTTTTTACCCTGTTTCGCAAACCACATTTATGGATGTTTATAATTACCACACTAATTACTTGAATTTTTCATGTTCTCATCAACATTTATCATTGTACATCATAAACAGCCAAACTCTAATTCATTGATTCAAAAATTTCTTATTTAATGGAAAGATGCTTAGAATTTAATAATATAGTTATAAAATTGCCTCATATATTACATATTATCAGGATGCCTGGCAAGAGGTTGATCCAGATGAGTACTCATATGAGGCAAGAGATTTTTTTCCCCAGAAAATTTAGCCTCTCTTATAAAACTTCCATGTAAGTTGGACTTTGATTTTTCTTCTCCTTCAGGAACTAAATGCACTGGGCGAGGTTGTTGGAACTGAAAGTAGAGGCCTTTCGGCTGACGTGATATCCGCTTTGCCTTCAGTAAGTTACAAGGCAAACAATGTCCAAGACAGCAATTCTGAACAGTATGCATACATCTCGGTCAGACTTCTAGCATTATTTATTAATATAAGACTTGACATTCATCTATGTAAAAATTGAATGAAAACCACAGATTCATCATATGCTGTCTGGAGTATGAGGATGGTGATTCTTTGGTGCTGCTTTCTTGCAAGCACATATATCACCTTGAATGCATAAACACGTGGCTCCAAATAAACAAGGTGACATTCTAGTGAAAATGATAGGGCTTTGTTGTGTGTTCATTACATATCCGTAGTTTGTTTATTTTTGTTTGTATCTGTAGCGAAATTTATAGTTGAAGTTATTTACTGATGAATCAGGCTTGCATTAGCATGCATAAATAAGAAAACTAGAGCAGTCACTTTCTTATGTACCATTTGTTTTTATTTGAGCCTGGATTATTTGATAATAATTGTTCATATTCTTGAGGAAATTTGAAGTTACTGACATTTGAGATCCATTTTTGGTAATTAGCTTTGTACCTAGCTATAAAGAGACATATAAGATCATTGAGTGTATATTATTGTTCTAAGATTAGTTCCACTTAGCTGCATATTAATGGGAGCATAATTTCTCTAACGACGTGGGATTCTTCTAATAGGCTGTGTGAGACTTTTCACAATTTTATGGTCACAGAATCCTTCGAATGACAATTTGTAAAATTTCCATTAGTTATATATGAGATCATTGTTGATGTTATACCTTATTGTCCCTTATATAATGTTTATACTCATCTTTTGTGTTGTGTTCAAGATATGATGTTTTAAAGATTATATTTCATATCCTATTACATTTCTTGCTGTGCTAAAATCTCGAGACTTCTTGGAACAAGACATCTAACTTGCTTCTTTAAATATTATTTTAGATAGAGCCTGACCGGCCTTCTCTTGGACTTCGACACTCTTTAGTTTACTGCCTTTACCATAATCTGGCTTGGGTTTTGATTAATCCTTTTCCAGTATCTCATCAAATTTGGGTCTATTTTGATAATCAATTTGGGAAGCAGAATTTCAATTACTTGTAATATATAGAATAATCAATGTCTTCAGTGAGATGCTTGACTGCTTATATCATAAATACCATAAATAATTTAGGCTTTTGATATCAGATAGAAGTAATTATCATAACTGAAAAGTAGTGATCTTGAGGAGAATGATTTATAAGAGGCTTAGGCTTTTGATTGGTTTTGTTAAATTTCCATAGAGACAAGTAATTTAGGATAAAACATTACTGAGTTTTATCTTTGGTGGAGACTAATGATGACTGAAGCAGACTAAGTTGCACAACAACAAGGAATTGGCATATAACTATAGGTTTTGTCGGAACAATACATCTTGGAAACCACTGTAGGTTACATGCTACAACATTCGGACATAGATCATTATTTCCCATTCGACAGTTGAAGAAATTTAGGAGAGACATTTGCTGAACAACTTTTCTGTAACCAATCAATTTCAAGCAGACTGTTGTTTTGGTTATTCTAAATCAAAAAAATCTCTTGAAACTGCTACTCTTAAAAACAGAAAATTTATTTTTTAACAAATGCCACATTATATAAACAGCATTTAAAATTGGAGTTTCATTTTACTGCTTTTTTGTCACTGTGAATATTGATCTGCACTGTGTACCATATTTCACTGCCAGAGTCAGCCTGCTGCTTTTCATTTTTGAATTTACACCATTACAACTGTGTATGTTGGATCGCTGTTTTTCCTTGATCTTGTATTGCATGTTATTCTCCCCTGCTCTTTTTTGTTCCCTTGAATCCTCAGCCTAGTTATTTGGCATTGTTTGTACTTGATGGCCCTCTTTTGGGTTCATGAACTTGACTAGGGCTTACTTCAGACTTAATATTCAGTGAATTTTGAATTCTTATCTTTCTCAACTCAGTAGGATCATTCATTCCCCTTTCTCTTTTCTGCATTACATTTAGTTTTCAATCCAGTTATCATTCTTGTATCTTCTGTTCATAACAGACCTTTATTTGGATCTTCAGAGCTATTTTAATTGACAGATACATGAATTAACTACACATTAGAACCAGTACAGGTTACATTAAAGATGGAGCTGGACTAAATTTTATTTTGTACACTTACATGGATTCCAAATAGTTTTCCGAAGTGGATGGAGATCTTGAGTAAAGAAAGGACATAATTGTATTTGTCACAAGATCTGCCTAAAATCATGGGGACTCAATTTTGGTAACTTCTTTCTTTTCGGAGGAGTGTTTTTGTTGGCTTTAAAATACTAGACCATGTCTATAGAATTGATTCACGAGTTCTTAGATAATGATATATATCATTTGAACTTGTAGTAGTGTGGATAGTTAGTTCATCAGTATACTTTCTTTCATTTAAAGTTGCGATAGGTTGTCAGTTGTTCCACAAGATCCACCACCTACCTACCACTGTTTATGACGAGAGGGTCGCTTCTGTGCCAATTATATTATTTGTACTCGTTACCACTTGTGCTGGTTTTTCTATTGATACATTGATGCTTGTACTATTTTTCCTAACAAAAGGATAAGTGAGATGTCACCAATTTTATTACTGTTCTGGTATTCTATTGATACAATGATGCTTGTACTATTTCTCCTAGCATAAGGACAAGTGAAATCACATCAATTTATTTCCTTGTGTCTGCAACGTGGAGGTATCAACATCAGAGAACAAGATTAGATTTACATCAGTTAACCTGAGTAGGAGATTGCTTCTATAGGAAAATACTGTAAATGAAGCACTTGGTGTGACTTGCATATATGTTACAGTATAATATGCTAAATTAATTATAAATGTCTGCTCTCTATCTATTCTCATTTTTCCTAATATCTTTTGTGTAATTGGAAGGGGTCTCATCACGGAGGACATGGGAGGGGAGAAGGGCTTTGCTACTATGCAGAAGAAAGAGCTAAGTTACATAAGAACAGCAGTCTCAATAATCTCCATTCTCAACATCAATGCTCACACAGGACTGAAACTTTATTCAAATGTGTGCTTTTCATGTCATAGACAATCCGGAGATCAACTACAAGCCTCTTCAGCAAATCCTATTCTGGACGCTACTGTATCATACACCACTCTCTGATTCTTCTGCTGATAGTTCCCGATGATGCCGACTTGACCGTCGAACTGAAGACTGGCGATTGCCAAACAAACCTGAGAAGCGTCCTTCTTCACCAAGTAGAAGATGCCGGTGACGTCCACGTTCATCTCCGCGCCGCCCTCGAATCCAAACCTCACCTTGGGGACCTTCACCTCCTCGTATGCCGACAGGTTGAAGCAGGTGTCCAAGATCGAGAAGCTCGGCGCCGGCGGATAGCCTGAGAACTGCCTCACGAACTCGGCCTTCAGCGTCTGGTAGACCGAGGGCGGAAGCCGGGTGATCACCGTGCCCGAATCGATGAGGGTTCTGCCGTTGGAGAAGCCGGCGGCATCAAGTGGCACACCGCCGATGCTCGCGCCGGTGAGGTTGAGGAAGTAGAACGGCGCTTGCCGAGGATCTGATACCATTCGAGTGTACGAGACCGGCGTGGAGTTCTTGTAGAGAGCAGGATCATCTCCAAGAACCAGAGAGCCAGATGAGTTGAGGATTCTTGTGGGGAGGCAGTAGGAGAAGAATCCGCCGAACTGAGAGGTGGTTTGGGAGACCAGAGAGAGCTGGGTCCTGCCGAGCCCCATGAGACCGGAGGTTCCACCGAAGAGGCCGTGGTTCCGGAGGCCGCAGCCGAAGATGAAGCCCTCGATGCTCGTCCCACCGATGTCGATCCTCTCGCGGCCCAGCACGCCGCGGGTGTAGGAGCCATCTCCGTAGCTGAGGGCGTAGTTGCAGGTCGACCGGTCGGCGCCACAGACGCCGGCCTTCCCGGTGGCCGCCCGAAGCAGGGAGTAGCAGGTGGTGGATTTGCAGGTGATGTTGTGGTACGAAGGCGAGGCGGAGGCGTCGAAGAGGGGGTCCTTTTGGCTGTAGCAGTAGGAGCAAGGCTTGCATTGGACCCAGGTGAGGTCGCTGCCGGTGTCGACGATGACCGTCATGTTCTTGCCGCCCACTCCCATGGTCACCACGTAGTTGAGGGTCTGTAGTTTGATACCTGAGACGAGAGGCACTTGCGCTTCGGATGTAGACTCCTCCATCTCCATCGGATCTTTGATTCTGGACTGGAGTGATTCGACTCGAGCTTCGTCTTCGATCAGGAGCTTCAGATATGACCTCGGAGACTGCAGGTGTTGCCTCATTTCTAGTATCGTTGCGCCAGCAGCCCTTCCTGAGAATTCAGCAGCATAACAAGATCAGTGGAAGTAGTGGTATAGCACTAACAAGTCTAATAGCTTTCAAGATGATTACGTGCTCGCCTCCCGGAGGTAGAGTGAGAAGCGCTTGTCTTCCCCCATTGCAGCTCATGTATGGAGTACGTCTCTCTGGAACAGTGAACGCTACTACCGACGAGAAGAAGAAGAAGAAGAAAGATGCGATGGCGGAGAGAGATGGGAAGACCTGCCATTGAAGATAGCCTAGAACGATGGTGTGTGCGACTACAGTAGCAGCGAGGGGGAAGAGGAAGGAGGTTGTCTGGAGGATTGTAGAGACTTGGAAAGGGAACAGAAGAGGACGCGTGGGCACTTTGGAGGCATTAGCTCACGACGGGGAATTATTGGAGATTCACGGGTGGGTGACTGAAGCTATGGAGTCAGATTCATATTAGCTGCTGTCGTCGTCTCCGGTTCTTTGGTCGTACGTTGTGCATGCATGGGGTTAAACACCGCCCGTGAGTCTTGGTCGAGGCGAGGGTAGACTGCAAGGTGAAGAAGGTCTTGTCGCTCGATGCAGCCAAGGCTTTATTCTTTGGCCTCTTTCAGAACCAAGGGAATGGAAACGCGTTGCGTATTGTTGCTATAGAACGCATATTTCATCTAACTATGATTAGAGACTTTATATACGTAGTAAATTTGTACAAACAAAGTCCCTAATTTCGTACAATGAAACCTTTTTTTTCAACAAAATAAATTGACTTTGTATATTTGTTACTCCAAATATATCTTGATTTTGGGTGAATTTATCCTAAATATACAAGCATGTCTACATGGATGCATCAAAGTATACCACATGTTTCACATGGATAATGTATAATACTATGGGACTAGGCATATATTAGTAACTGGATGAACACATATTTAGTAATACTAATTTAACATGTGAAGAAGGATCCTTCTTCTTAACATCCATCCACTACCTCTCTTCCACCATTGGGATCGCCTCCGTCGACGCAACCCACCCTTGTCGTCCGCCCATCCACCTCACTTCTCCATCCCCCTCTCCTCCTCTCTCCTGCCATCTCCTTCTCTCTCCTCTTTCCCCGTTGCCCACCTTTCACCCTTCTCCTTTCACTCTCCTCCTCTTCCTCTATCATCAGTCATCCTTTCTCTCTTTTCTTGATACTCACCCGTCCTTCTTTTTACTTCATTATTGAATATGCCGGATACAAGCACAGAGCAAGCAAGGGCGCAAGAACTAATAGTTTCAAGGTGCTAATGGTATACATGAGAAGTTTCAGGGTGCTAATGTTATACATGAGAAATGACTGATTATCCCTTCCTTTTAAATAACATTAGTTATTCTGTCCTTTTAAATAACATTGATTATCCTTACATTTTCAATGATTGATTATCTTTTCAAGTTTTATTTTCAATGATTGATTCTTCTTGTTTATATTCTTCTTTTCCTTCTTTAAAAGACACAATCACGATCGACGATACACGAACGAACGAACAATAACAAAAGACGATGAGCAATGATACACGAATAGACAATAACAGAAGCGACCATGGAAGAGAGATAGTTTGAATACTTTCGAGTTCGAGGTATTATTTAAGAAAAACTGAAATGGGGAGTACTTATTAAAAAATAACTAAAATACAGATATTTTCAAGGAAAATCATCTTATCATTTTCTAGTATCCTAATGAGTTTTTAAAGAGTATTAGTGAAATGAGAATTTTAGCTAACAATTATCTTACAATAGCTAACAAAGATTAATTACAATGACATATGTGTAAGTTTAAAATTTTTGAAAGGATATATATGCTAAATGTGTATTATGATAAATAAATATAAAAGTCACTAACCTTCAGAAATTTACATGCAATTTTGCCAAAAGAATTGTTTTCATGATCTAGATATTTGTAAGAACATTTATGGTATTTGTAATTTTCAACACATGACATGTAAAGGTAATTAGCCATACCAATCAATAGGCAAACTAAATTCATTGATGTGTTGGCACCTTAAGAGATCAATGTTGTGATGGCATATAATATGATAGAAACAATACAATTTAATTATGATCACAAACTAAAATTGATAATTAACCATACATAATTGCAAAAGCATGTCAAGAAAATATAATGGATTCCACATAATTTCATTTGAAAACCACTGAAATTTTCACAAGAAAGTTTCACATATTACCAATAGATAATAATAAAGACCATACACATGATTGACATCAATAATACTAAGCATTTGCAAGAGTTTTGAAAATCACACAAGCCTGGAACTCACAATTCTTTTGAGCAATACTCCATCGTCAAAGGAACATCCTACATGTAGAGATATAAAAGACATCAGCCAAGAGTATGTGAACTTTGTAACATTTAGCAAAATTAGATTACATATATGAATCACAATCTGAATTACTTGAATATGACATGGTCACATCTATGCAAACAACAATTACTTGTGCAATAGGTTTGTCCTCATTTAGCTTCAAGTTTTATGACCAGCAATCATTTAGACACTAGCTCTCCTTCTGCATGCCAAGTAGAGTAAAGCAGAAGAAACATTATTTTTCCCTAAGGCATCTACTTTGGTCATTAAAAAAAAATTATAATCAGTTATCTCCGTGCACCAGAGTATCAACATGAACTATGATCAGAAAACATAAAAATCATTAACCTATACAATGTCAAATATTAATAGATTTTATGTGGTTGACTCTCCTACAGAAGACAAATATCAAATGACAGAAACCACATGACTATGTAGGACATAACCACAATGACATTCAAAAGGAATGATTAGAATTGTGTAGAATTAGTCATTGAGCAGTAAATTTGTTGTCTTGTGAATTCTATTGGTATTGAATTGCTAAATTGACAAGAACCCTCCGTGAAGTGTGACAACAATCAAACAGAACTTGTAATAATCTTTTACAGCTGTCCCACCTAATACATGAATTTATACGCATGCACAGATCACAAATGTGAATTAACAGCAGTGAATTATATGCTTCCTAACTGTAATATTGCAGTCTGTGAGAGGAAAAGAAGACTGATGAATGCTAGATTCTGTCTAAAAAGATGAGCAATCTTTGGAAGAAAAGTGGTGGTCTCCTACAGTATGCATAAGTTCAATTTTAAAATGGCAAAAGAATGGGACTGTTACAATGCTACTTCCTATTCTATAAAGTACTTTTAAAGCATGTCATTTAGATGATTGTTACAGTGCAACTAGTTGTTAGATAATTGTCTCAACAATCAACATGCAAGAATTCCAATTAACTGGTTCTTCCACAGAAACTAAGAATCTTATTCACCAGGAACAACTTGAAAGCAAGCCTAATAATGTCATTGCCTAGTATCTATCCAGGAGTGTCTTTTAAAAGTGTATTAACCAATGAATACCATCATTCAGCTTGTGGGGTCCACAAAGACTCAGATTCTTTGTAATTATCGCATATCTTCAACAGGAAACACAGGTAAACATGTTTTGCCATGGATAAGCATAAAAACACAGTATCCAACAACACACAGCTTAAAAACTCAATCCAACTAGGCACCTAGTGTAACAAAACAGCTACCAACATATGAAACACAAGAGTACTTTATGATTTACTAGTACAAGTGTGAATACAATACAGAGATCATAACATTAACTCTTTTGAAAGGTTAAAAAAAATAAGAAACACTGAAAGATGGCTAATAAACCTTATAGTGTATAATGAAGCATGCAGGTTAAGAAAGAATTAGCAAGCTATAGTCTTTGGAAAATCTATTTTGATGAGTATCTTGATGATAACATACATAAGTATAAAGTGTCCAAATATACTAAGCTATGAAACAAAGTCAAGTTCAAAATGAAACAACGATTTCCACATTATTAGCTTCAAAATTTGCCGACATGTAGTAAATGTGACTGTTGACCTAAACGAGGAAGGGTAAGAAGAATACCAATTCCTTTTTTCATAATTACTCCTTCATTACATGAATGTATAAACTCCTATGGTTTATAGTAGAAATAAAGATTATAACAGGATTCTGCAGACAAAGTTAATCATCTCTCTGTTCTATGTATATATTAGATTATGATTATTCACAATATTTATTTTCAGTTGTAAGACATGTAGTCAAATTGGCAAAGCATATGGATAAATGCTGACGTCGCCAGATTTAATTAACTTGCGTGGTACATATTAGTATGAAAAATATCTAATAGCAAGTCAAGTAACTCAAAGAATCTGGTCTGGTCTTCCATTAGAGCAGAATCATTGTTCTGAAATCCATAAGAGGTAAGGATGCATTGGCTGCTTGTGGGGTTGAACACGCTAGAGAAAACACAACCCTGTAGTAGATACCCATTGAGGTTAATAGAATGTAGGCATCATGAGACAAGGATCACCAGTACGAGCCTGACCACACGAAAACAATCTTTCTCCCTTTCAATTGTCCTTCCAGTATGAAGTCGATATATGTGATTGGTATTTGCAGCAATAAAGAAGAATATGTGCACTATTATAGCAATTAGTGTACCACAAATTACAAATCATCAGCGATGGCTATCAACAAGTTTTAGAATGCGGCAACAAGAATTGATCTTTGACGTGGAAATAGAAGTATGATGTGAATGTAACTGCGAAACTCGGAAATCTAAGCATAATGACATTAAACACACCCAAATCCTAAGCAGAATCATATAATAAACTAATAGAGCAATGCAACAATAAAGTTGACCGATCCAAAGAGTCGAGATGCATACCCTAAGCAAGGGGCTCATAGTAGCTCGTCCGGTAGGGTTGGTGATCGACCGCCACGAGCACGTAGATGGCATAGATGATCCCAGGGATGTACCCCAAAATCGTCAGCAGCAAACAGATGCAGAATTCCAGCTTCGGATGAAACAAAAAGAGGAACAAAACAAATCAACATCCGAAGAATAGAGAGAAGGGGCGAAACGAAGAAGAAAGACGAGAGATTGGGATGGGAATCAGTACGCTGCAGCAGCCGTAGTGAAGGAATACGCCAAGGGGAGGGAGGATGATCGAGATGAGGATCTCGAGGAACAAGCAGCAACGCTCCGAAGCCATTTCTCTCGCTCTCGCTCAATCCTTCTCCGCCCTCTTCGAATGCTGTTCTTTTGACGTTTCTGTGGCAAATATGAACGCGGGGATGACCCCAACTGTCGTTGATTAAGATCAACTCCTACGGAATCGGTCTACCTGCTTTGTCATTGGAAGAAAACATGGCCCTAAAGATTATGTTTCTGGGCTCCACCTAGCTGTCCAATGACGCGGGTGGTAGGGCGGAAAGAAAAAGCGCAGGGAAAGTATTTATTTTGGTTATCAAACATGAGGTCAGGATGAGCTGTCTTGACCGAGACACCAGGAGCAAAATGCGGCCGGCCGATATCATGATCACGTGACCAGACATCCGCATCATTTCCTGATTGGCCATTGTACGGCGTTCGAAGGCTGGAGGCATGCTCCGGATGTGGTGACATGGATCACGACACGTGGATGGGCCTGCATTTGTCGCAGCGGTCATGTGGTGGCAATTGACCGATTCCATCAATGCGATACAGACACACAAGGAAGGCCATCATTAATGATGTAGCATCTGTCATCCCCATAATAGAGAGGCTCCACCACTAATTATAATATTTACATGGCATGTCAAGAAGGAACACATGGCATGTGACATGTCCGACTAATCCAACAAGATAAGAGATGAGGAAGGGATGGTTTTGAGGGAAGCATTGGCGGGTCGGAGGACGGATGCTGAACCAAATGATCCGGTAAGATAAGTGATGAGGACGGGATGATTTAGAGGGAAGCATTAGCGGGTCGGAGGACGGATGCTGAACCAAATGATCCGGTAAGATAAGAGATGAGGAAGGGATGATTCAGAGGGAACCATTAGCGGGTCGGAGGACGGATGCTGAACCAAATCCTATACAAGAGGAAGCCATGCAGGCTCCCACGTCTCCAAGTGAAGGACCGTTCGACGGCGACGTGTCCCCTCCACCACGCACGCATGCATGGCTGCCGTTGCCCCCACGGCCTCAAAACGCCCTCCTCTCCCTCCACGTCGAGTAATAGAGAGAAGGGAGAGTGACTGAGCAATGAGCAACACCAACGGGGACGCGTCGAGGAGGGCGGCGCCGGAGGCCAACGCTCGCGGCGTGCTGCACCAGCGGCGGAACATGCCATTCAACCTCATGACCATGGCAGCCGGGGGGTTCTTGATCGTCGCCGCCATCGGCTACTTCACCCTGTACCACAAGTCCCGGCCCGGCACCACAGCCTCCGACGTCGCAAAGGCTACCGCCGGTGACAACCGTGGGGCGAGCCACAAGTAGGATCTCTGTACTACTTTTGGTTGAGAGAATGATATGGTGTTTGACTTGGAGCCACGTTTTCAACTTCGTTTTATCTGCTAATTGAAGTAGGGAAAAGAATACAAAGAGAAAATGACACATAAAGGAAAATGAACACTGTAAAGCAAATACAAACAATGTTTTTGACGCTTAAATCATGTGCTCATCACATAATGGTTACAGAACACATTCTTGACGTCCTCACTAAGTGCCACCCTTCAGAGCAAGCACAAGGTGAAGAACAGAACCATCCTCGATGTTGGATTCCCGGGCAGTCTTGTCATCAGCGAGTTGCTTCCCTAAGTAGATAAGCCTGCACGAGAAACCACACCGATTTGTCAGAGTCCTGGAAGAGTTCATGAGATTACAGTCCAATGGCCACACAGTTGTTGGTCACAGACCTTTGCTGCGGAGGTGGAGTCCCTTCTTTCTCTTCAATCCGTTCCTTGATCCTATCTATTGTATCGGTGGGATCGAAGTCGATCTCGATTTCTTTGCCTGTTTGAGTGTCTTGACCTTGATCATCATTCCACCCTGAAGCCTCAGAACCAGATGAAGTGTCGACTCTTTCTGGATGTTGTAGTCTGCAAGAGTTCTGCCATCTTCCAATTGCTTCCCAGCAAAAATCAATCTCTGCTGATCCGGGGCTATTCCCTCCTTGTCCTGCAGCATCTCCAAGTAGTCATTCAATCAAAGAATTAGAACTTGTCATGGTCTCCGCCATTCATGGGTTGAGAAAAATGAAGCTGATACATCACCTAAATCAAAAACTGAATGCATAATATTGAAACTAATCCATTAAATAGTGTCAGATGAATCAACTAATCCATTAAACCATAAGCTTCAGCAGTTGAAGGTTTCACTGGAGAAACACTTAAAAAGATCAGCTGTAATATCAAGTATCAAGGCGACACGATACGGAAGCACAGTAAGATGATGGAGCAATAATAACATCGACGACCATGCATGGAACACAGCAACACCATAGTCGAGAGGATAACCGATGGACTCCTATGCAGAACGCTAGATTCACACGTTTATCTTGAACAAATGTATCATACAAGAAGATTATAAGGATCAACTTTATTTGGTTAAGACACATTAAACATTTTGATGTTTAAATCTTGGATGAGTATACCGTACCGAAAGGGATTGATTAATATATTTTTAGATGTGTTAAATGTTTTGAATGCATCGTACATAAGAGAAATACTTTGGGTAATGTTGGGTACTTAAATATTTTCTTTAAATATTTCTTTGTCCTCATCAAAAGAACCCATATAAAGGGGATGTTTTAGGCCACAAAGGCTATGCTGAATGCATCACACAATTCATCAAATTAGGTTAGGGAGCATTAAGTATAAGAAGATATTAAAAGTCACATCAAGCATCTCTTACGTCTTCCCTGTTAAGGAAACATTGAGTTGAGTGATGAGAGATGCATTGGTCGTAAAGGTCATGTTGGCCCTGTTCTGTTGATTAGTGCACACATCAATTAATCGAATAGGATTGATGAGTTAACTCACTGCATGTATAAACTTTGATGGGTTCGACCAATATCATTTTAATAGACTTTGATCATCGATTACGACCGTTTGATGACTAGGCCGTTAGCCATCAGGAATTTTAATATTTATAATAATTCTAAGATAATTAATTATCTTTCTTCGTATCTGTTTTCTTTCTTTAATATAAATTATTAGGCAATGTTAACCATTATATTAATTTATAGGATCAGACTGGGCGGTGCAAACCAATAAAATTAATCGATCGATCGTTGACACTGCATCAGATCAGATGGTTGGTGGCATCAGTGGTCCAAAAGATGGCTCATGACGTCAGTGGTCCAAGAGAACAAAATACGTTCATCCCAAGAAACAAAGGGAACAGCAGAGAGAGACGCCATGTGCTGTGAGGCTACGTTTATTACCGTTTCCCCCTGACAAAAGCCAGATGGAAACGCACAACGCACATAGAATCGATCTCCTCGCTAAAGATGCTTTCCAAACACCACAACGTTCCAGTCTCCTTCCACCCTCCTCCTCCTTCGTCGTCTCTTTCTCTCGCTCCTATGAGTCTCTTTTACGCTGTCCTACTCTACTGCTTTCGGGGGACCCACGCACTCACAATTGTCCACCTCTTCCTACATCCCTTTCTTTTGCTTTCTCTCTCTCACTGCTGTCCCACCTCTGTGTCGGTGGTGCAGCCCGGGCGCCTGCACCAGGCTCTGTGCCGGCTTGGAAACTTCTTGTACCTCCTCCACCACCACCACCTCTTCTCGCCCAGGCCACTCCTCGGCTACACATTGTTGGTAGTACTTTACAGCCACAACCAGCATGAACACTGCCCGAGAACATTGCATTAAGGAGTATAGATCACGAGGCAACAACTGGTGATGGTGTTGTTAGAGGAGGAGCCTTACCAGCCCAGATGCGAGCAACAGTGGAGGAGATGTTCCAAATGAGGGTGAAGATGGCGGCTGCCACCGCCTTCTTGTGGCTGCATGACTCCCACCCGTCTCTAATCCTCTCCACCCAGAAGTTACCTGCATGTAATGCAGTTTCATTATTTAGCTTAGCTTCATGTGTAGGATCATAATTGATATGATGGAAACAAACAAAAAAAAAACTTGGCATATCATTCAAGAATTAGAAAGTTGGTGGTCTTTAGCTGACTAAAAAGTCGTAAATGATTCCTATTATAGTTTGAGGGTAATTTCCTCAAGAACTACCATATCAACCAACAAGCAGTAATTTCTTGGAAGACTCAGGAAGACACATGCACTGTCCTAACACATGCATTAGCAGATCTGATCCCGAGTCTGAATCACACAGCTAATATGCTTCCTCGTTAACCCCAGTGCACGTGGAAAAGGACAAAGGAGTAACTTTGAGGCTACGTCTCGAATTCATCGAATGCAGCACAAAGCTGAACATGGCTTGTAATCTAGGAACCAAATGCAGAGAGCCATTACTCACTCTCTGAGCTCTGTATGTAACAAAAAGAACGCTTGTCGCTCACCATATTTCGCCAGCTGGGTGGAATAGGAAGAGCAGATCTTTGGTACAGTGAAGACGCCAAAGAACGCTGCAGAAGATTACAAGCATATCAATCTACTGCATGGTAACTTTGGAACTTGAATCCTTCTGTCGAAATCCAGAAACTTACACAGTCTCGAGAGGGTCCAAATGGTGATGGAGTTTCCACACCTGGCCATGACGAAAAGTAGCACAGCCAGCTGCCAGAGCGACATGAATTTACCAGTGTTAGAATGCTGCATGGGTGGTAAGAAAACAGGTGGCTAAAAACACAGGGCGAGGAAGCCAAACTCTTGCCTTCATGGTAGTTGCAGGGTCTCCAGAGAAAAGGGCCCTTATCTTAAGCAGTAGTTCATTTATGTAAGGGAGGAGCAGCCTTAGAAGCCAGATGGCCTCTTCTTCACCCACCATGTAGCTTTCATCGTACTCCACACTCTCTCCTCTGCTTCAGAACGTATAATTTGTGACCAAAACACAAAAAGAGGAAAAGTGATGATCTATGGAAGGTCTCATGGGGAGGAATTACCTGTGCAAGATGGACTTGTAAACGAAAATTAGTGCGAGATAGATGAGACCAAGATAGGAAGTTGCTGATATTAAGCTGCAGCATGAACATCTTGATGAAGTTAGCTACATCATCTGGTTCTTCGAGAAATCCCTGAGAAATGCTGATTTGAGCCAGTCGAATCCTCACCTGAAATTGAGATCCTTGGCATAGGAAGATGACATGAGAA